GAGATCTTATTGCTGGATACAACCACACTTGTAGGTGGAGAGCTTATTGCTGGATACAACCACACGTGTAGGTGGAGAGCTTATTGCTGGATACAACCACACTTGTAGGAGGAGATCTTATTGCTGGATACAACCACACCTGTAGGAGGAGATCTTGTTGCTGGATACAACCACACTTGTAGGAGGAGATCTTATTGCTGGATACAACCACACCTGTAGGAGGAGAGCTTATTGCTGGGTACAACCACACTTGTAGGAGGAGATCTTATTGCTGGATACAACCACACCTGTAGGAGGAGAGCTTATTGCTGGATACAACCACACTTGTAGGAGGAGAGCTTATTGCTGGATACAACCACACTTGTAGGAGGATATCTTATTGCTGGATACAACCACACTTGTAGGAGGAGATCTTATTGCTGGATACAACCACACTTGTAGGAGGAGATCTTATTGCTGGATACAACCACACTTGTAGGAGGAGAGGTTATTGCTGGATACAACCACACTTGTAGGAGGAGAGGTTATTGCTGGGTACAACCACACTTGTAGGAGGAGAGCTTAATGCTGGATACAACCTGGATACAACTTGCACGCGCGATTCGTAACTTTGATCGTTCGCCGTGTAGCGAGAGTCCAACTTTAGAGTACCACTTTATTGAGGGACTACTGCCGTGCCGGTCTTGGTGTAGTCTGGGACTGTTTTTTTATTATTATTGTCGCGTTGCTGCCCTGCGCCAAGCTTGCATTTGGTGTTGAAAAACCGGACTAGCATACTTTCGTGTTTATTTCTTTATATTTCGTGACCTGCTTACGACCCTTCTTCCCAATGTTGCACTACCGTCGTTTCGTTAGCCCCCAATGCGGTTGTAACTTTCTGACTCGCCCACCAGCACCCCCGCACCCCTAAACGGACATCTGTAAAAGACAAAGAGCTTCATAGCTCATCGGATTCCTCCTGCGGTCCCAATCAAGGTTCTGATTCTGAAACTATTCGGGTGGGCGGGCGGATGATGAGAGGCATACAGTGCTGGTCGTCTTGATCCGAGACAATGAACCACGTGGAGAGGTTGCCCTCTGATGGACAGGGATAGAATTTGTCGATGAATCGACACCCCCTGAGTGACCTTCCCCATATGGTTGCCGCCTTGCGACAAAATTCAACTGGACACCTGTATTAATTTATTTTCAGTAGTTTTGCAATTCAGATTTTAAAAAGAAAAAAACACACATTAATTATATGCACCCGTCATCCCTTACGTGAGGGCCAAAATGAACCCCCATGCCCAACCCCGAACCCCGAACGTACAAGTAATTCCATCGGCTCCAAGCAAAACCTGCGACCATCTGCTTTCTGAGGTTGCGTCGATGACCAAAATCATCTGCAGCGTCGCTCGCCGAGCTCGCCAGATCTCGGAAGCTCAGCGGGCGGCTTGGAACTGGCGAGGAATCGACAGAGGCTTGCGGTGCCCGGCGTGTGCGGTCTGGAGTGCCGCTAAAAGCTGGCGACCCGAGTTGGATTCCTCCCGCTCACGGCCAACGTCAAGTGACGATTATCTGAACATCGTCCTGCGCCTCTCCCTCCGTCGAGTCGGCCTCGAAATGAGTCGTGTGACGTGTTGCGATTTGTATGTCAGCATCGCCGCGAGGGAGACAAAGGCGGTAGCGCTGTAATATCACAGTATAGCAATGGTGCGATGATCCCCTTTTAGCGCTCATTCGATGGGTACTTGCATCTCCAGGAACGCATCTTGAGCGCTAAGTGAGGTCTTCCTGTATGTCAAATGAAAGCGTGATTTAACCTCGACCTCAGTGTGTCAATTGTGTTGCCCGTTTATCATATACCTTTCATGTAATATATGAAAACAGATGACAACAATGCCTGACCCTAGATGGCTTGCGTTCAGGTTAAAACACACAATGCGTCCTGAAACGGTACGCAGACCGCACACGTGACGCTTCCCAGCAACACGTGTGCAGTCTTGGAACCGAAAGTTGCGTTCCACGTAGAAGGTTTTGGGGATTGTCACCGGTTCAGTCCCCAAGCGCGCTTGGGAAAAATGTGTTGGCAAGCTGGACTCCGTGCGCACGCCCTCCTGGAATCCGAGCCCTCTGGCTTTCGCGAATAAAACACAAAAACGCCGATTGTTCCCGTCCGACAACGCGGACACGAAAAATAATAACAAGAACAACAATAGTAACAATACGAGTAACAACAATAACAACAGCTACAATAGCAATAAGAATAACAATAGTAACGATAATAACAGCAACTGTAACAATAACAACAATAACAATAAGAATAGTAACGATAATAACAACAATAATAACAGCAACTATAGCAATAACAACAATAACAACTACAATAACAACAAGAATAGCAATAATAACAACAATAACAATAATAAAAACAATAACACCAATTACAACAATAACAAATACAATAACAAGAATAACAACAATATTAACTTTCAATTTAAAGCTTTCGTGACTGCAAGGATTCATCTTCTTTGGTTCTTTCGGTAAAGTCACGTAAAATGAGAATAAAATAATAAATTGATAAAATAACACAATAATATTCTCACGACGTTTCGGCCACAACACAAGCGGCCTTCATCAGTCTCGTCCCTTCACCTGATGAAGGCCGCTTGTGTTGTGGCCGAAACGTCGTGAGAATATTATTGTGTTATTTTATTTTATCAATTCATTATTTTATTCTCATTCTACGTGACTTTACCGAAAGAACCAAAGAAGAACAATATTAACAACAACAATACACGGGGGACGAGTTCGCACTTGCGCTGTTCTTGAGCGCAAGCAGTGGACGCACTGCGCGAATGTGCGAACGAACGCGACCGCTGCCGTCAAAGAAGCACGCCGAGGCACGGATTGAACGACTTTGAAATGAAAAGACTCGGGCGGATGGATATGACTGCGTACGTAGCGTGGACCGAGAAAAAAAACACGTGGATGGGTTCTGGGGAAAGCTGGTGTTGAATGAAAACTGTTAAGAGGTGATGCAATGAAGAACGCTTAGTCTACTTATGGTCATGTCATGAGAAAAAAAAATGGAACTTGTTTGGAAAAGAGAATTATGCAAGGCACAATTGCGCTGTTCACGTGCGCGAGGAAGACCCAAGGATGACATCAACGGCGTGGACGAGGCTCACGCTGGAACAGACAAATGAGGATAGCAGAAGACAGGAGTCAGTGGGGAAGCATTCCCCGTGGTCCGGCCGACCCTCGGAGCGAGGATGTCTCAAGACAAGACCACATGGGGTTTATTTCACTGAAGGTGTGAAGAAAGAGTGGATATTCAAGGCGTTCGTCAAACAGCACCGTCGCTTTTTTTTAAAAAAAGGACTAGATTTTTCGTGGTGACGTTTCGGGCAACAGCCCATTTTGATAGCGCATAAGCACCACATGATTACCACTGGCCTAAAACTTTGCCTTTTATGTATTTTTTTCTTCTTCATTTTAAGGCCACAGTGTTATTGACGAGTGCGTTGAGTGTTGTTGTTAATTGCCATTGCGCACCACTGCCAACGCAACAGCAGCATCACCATGAATGGCATTACGACTTGTACCTTTAATTTACTTCTTGCCCATAACCACGGGTTCACAAACTCTACCACTGTACTCACAACCCACGGCATCGCCTCTCATTAATATTCACCAGCCGCCTAAGTCTTAGCACAAGGTGCGTCGGGCGTACAATGTACTCGCATGATGTTTGCTACACTCATCAGAACCTGACGGAGGAGAGCGCTTACCATGATCTGCATTACGAGGGATTGTATTTACACACACACACACAATATCGGTCTTAGTTGAATCAACGTTTCTCACATCACGTATGGCAAAACGAGAAAGATCCTCCTGTATACTGTACACTTTAACCGAATTGGGGCAAGTGCTGTCAGCGAGTAGTACCTAATGGAGGCCAGCACGGCATACGAGGGAGTTGGTGACCAGCAACCACACACGGCCGCCTTTGTCTCCCCAGTGCAGATGTTTACACACATTTCACAGCTACTAATTTCAGGCTGAGTGGACCGAGGTGAGGTCCAGGACCGGTTCAAATATTCGCCATTGTTATTGGTCGTGAGCTGGAATAGAACTCGGGGTCGACCGGGTTCGTAGCACGGTTCGCTAACCACTGCGCCACCGCTCCCCACTAGGCAAAGATCCCCCGTATAGCCTTGACATGTTGGGGCAAGTGCTGTTAGTGAGCACCTTTGAATGTCGGCACCACGCCCCACTACACACACAATACAGGGTGGTTAAAAAAATGTTAAGACTTCTGATAATTTGCAACAACACTTTAAGAAATGTACTGCCTCCGGGTTCTGGATGCCACCTGGTGAAGATTCCAGGCATGTGTTGACAATGATGGCGAACAAGTGGAGACTCTTTGACTTTTTGAAGCTATTACCATTACAATTATTATCATGTTACAGTGCATTAACCGTTATTTTCCATTAAAAACGATAGTCCCATATAAGTGTTACAATATTTTTAAGCACCTTGTATTTATACGGTATCTTAACATTATAAACGAGTATAAATCATTAGCGTCGTTTCAAAAAAATATATGAGCATCGAAATATACGTATTCATGTATTAATGACTTCATTCGTGACTTAACTTTAACCATTTCTACTTCTACGCGCCACGGCGTGCAGCGTGTTTACCAACTATCAGGCGCGTGCAGCGTGTAAACGACCTAACTTGTATGCCTGTGAACGGGGGAGGTTGGGCACAATTGAAGCCGATGGCCATCACGTTTGGTGGGTCAAAGATGCCTGGAATTTTGAACAGCAACAAAATAAATCCTGCCCCAACCAGTATTTCAAACCTCCAGCCACATGGGAACGGGGCGTTCTGGAAGAACTGGCCCCTGCTTCTACCTATCGCTCATCACGCCCACGGCCACCCCGTTTAAAATCCCACCGTGCGCCGGCCTAACACGCCCACTTGGGGGTCCAGTATAAAAGCAAAGCGACCGTCAGGTCCACCACACCCACCTTTCTTATATTCGTCAGCAGCGAGGGCCGAATCATCATCATCATCATCGACTACTACTACCACTACAACCACCACCACCACCATTATCATGGGATCGTTGGTAAGTTTCAGCGGCTGTTGTGAACGGTTCTAAAATTGAGTGCAGATCTCGTAAGCTAAGTGGAAATTCATCCTGGTGGGTACAATATATATTTTGAATGGTTAAGCTGCCTGGGAGTAACAATGTGTGGTTGGGTGAGCATTGGGGGGCTGTGGGTTTGAATGGCCAATACTGGGTCATTAGTGTAGTGTGCGTTGTTGGCCTTCTGTTTAAAAATAACATTTGGGTGCAATTCTCGAAAGCTAAGCTAAGGCCGAGCCTGGTTAACGCTATGCTAAAATGTGAATTGCAGGGTGTGGTGAGCTTAGGGCTGTGGGGTGGCCATTCCAGCAATGAGTCCACAGATAATTATTCGGTGTGTAGAGGAGCTCTTAGGCTAAGCCACTCCACTCACTCTCGTGATGGGTTTTCTCCGGGTACTGCAATTCTCACGCGAATCCAAACGCCCATGAATGATCATGGCCCAACATCGCAATGTGGTAGAAACTTGAATGTTAATTGAAATTGAGACAATACTATGTATTAATAATTAAAACAATGAATAGTAAAACAATGAATGTAAGTCATTTATCGATCAACTTGTGGATGAAGGCCTCTGAAAGCCTTTTGGTTGTTTAACTTTTTTTGTTGTCATATTTCACCACACTAGTCTGCAGGTTTGTAAAGGGTGAGTTTCAGGACCGGTTCAGTTGTGCATTCACCACTCATATTGGCCGGAGCTAGGAGTCTGTCTGGATTGTCACGGGTTCACTATGCAGTGTTAACCACTGCGCTACCGCTCCTTCCATCAATACGCATTTTGTTGCCTAGACTTGTACATTATTGTAAGATTGACTTTTTTGTCTTAGCTCAATTAGCCGTGGCCGGGATTCGAACTCTGGTCACCGAGTTCACAGTAGAGCGCGCTCACTGCTGCACAACACCGCTGCCTATCGCTTGCAAGGCATTTGCATAAAAAGTTAAGAGCAAATCCCCTACGCGCTTCACTTCTGTCGGAATTCGTCATTGAAACACCGCGGATTTAATGGCACAAAACGTGCAGTCAACCGATTAGAAATTGCTCTCGATGGTTCCGCGGAACGCGATGCCGTTCCTGCCGGACATGCTGTCTGTCGTGCGACCTCTGTTCGATCATTCTAATCCAGTCGCAGGACCAGCCCGGGGGATACTTACACGGTAACGATGAGCACAGTTGACTTTAAATCCGGATGTAACCGGTTCGATCTCACGGTTACGACAGTTGAAACCTCTGCCTCCTAACTACCCTTCACCCATCCTCATCCATGCCCATTTTGCCACTTCACGCATGTGCCCCATACCCCGCTGCCTCTCATCCACATTGCCCCCATCGGACACCCCCTCACTCGCCATCACATTCCACCTTATTCCACCTTTCTTACCCCAGCAACATCGGCTCTATTCCCAGCCCCGTCCCTCACTCCATTCCATCACCTCCCTCGCTGACCGCCGTCTTGCATTTTAAAGCGCCCTGGAAAGGACGCTACACACCCGAAATAGAATAAAAACAATGTGCAAAATCATGAAATTCCCTCTTCCCACCTCATTTGTCGACCCAGCAGAATAATAAATGGGTACACCACAGGCAATAATCGCCGATGGCGAGTGGTGGGGTAAAGTGTGGGCGCTCCCACCTCCTTCCAAGACGTCTGGCTAGTGTGAACGAGTAAGCCAAATTACCTCCTTAGGGGGAGAACCTTCCGCCAGCAGCGTGAGCGAAAGATGCTGAGGCTCCACCTTTACCTTTGCCGGCCAAGAGCGGTCGGAGCCGTGAAACTGGAGAATCTCTAAACGCGTTATCGTGATCATGAGGCTTGCGCGTACAGTGCTGTTGTATAGGCGACCTGTTCATGCTGAACAAAGTTTAAGGGTGCGGGAATTAAAAGGCCTTTTTTTAAGTTGGTCACTGGCCAAACTTACAAATGTGGAGTTCGGCAGACAAACGTGAAATTCAAATACGGGTGTAATTTTAAAGTTGTTTTGTCTATAGTAACCCCCCCCACCTCCACTGGCTGTATAGAATGCGTCAGTGGTTCGACACGGCCACCAAGGGGACTATCGCCATGCCAGCAAGGAGGAAAACATCAGTTTGAGCAAGTCTGACCCCCTTACAATCCTCCGTGTGCAATGAAGAAAGGCCATTCCCCGAAACGTCGCCTGTTTATAAGTTGCCTATTAAGGCCACACAGTTATTGACGAATGCGAGTTTGTCGTTGTACTGCGCTTGCACGCAATTGACTCGGAAGAATCGCCAAACGCATGTTTTTTTAAGTTGCTACTTTTATTATCCCTTTTTCGATTTAAAGCTTTCGTGACTGCAGGGATTCGTATTCTTGGTTCTTTCGGTAAAGTCACGTAGAAGGGAAATAAAAATAAATAAATAAAATTCTCACGCCGCTACGATTGCAACACAAGCAATCATCATCAGGTTTTCACACCCCGACTAAGTGACTTGACCGAAAGAACCAAGAATATGAATACCTTTTTTTGTTCCCTCCCCACTAGAATGGTGGAAACGCCATTCCATTCCCAGCTGGTTGACAGAATTCCGAAACGCTTCTGATCCGGCTGGCCGAAGGGAGAGGGCAGAGATTCCTGAAATCCCAACCCGTGGCTGCGTTGTCCATCATCCTCCTCCTCTCTCGCAGGAGGTGCCCTATGAGCTGCCGGTGGCTGATGGAGTGAACTTCGGGTGGTGCCTGACGGTGCGTGGAGCCATCCTGGACAACCCAACTGGGTACCACGACCTGCCCCACCAACATTCCCCCAAGCTTGCTTAACACAATCGCACAGTTTGTGTTACAGATCCTATTGCGCTACAAAGACGAAGGTGCCCCCGTGTAGCCTCGACATAAATGCTGGGGCAAGTGCTGTTGGCGAGCACCGAACGAAAGCCGACACTGCGCACGCAAGGCCAGCACCACGCCCGGCCGCCTTTGTCTCTCCATTGCTGGTGTTTGTTCACACCGCACCGGTGTGCTCATTTGAGGCCGAGTCGACCTAGGGGGAGGCCCAGGAACCGGTTCTGATAACCGTCACCGGTGTTGGCCGCGAGCTGGAATCGAACTCGGGTTTATCAGGTTCACAGCGCGGCGTGCCAAACGCTACACTACCGCTCCCAACATGCCCTATATTGCGCTAGACGCATGCACACACACACACTGTATTTACCGTACACAATGTCCTATTGCGAGGGGCGTGATGCAGACATAATAGCAACGTCCCGAGGTGGTTAGGGTGGGAGGGATGGCTCGGGGGAAGCGGGGGGTGCTACCACCCACCCACCCACCTACCCTCCCCCTCCTTTGGATCCACGCCTGACATGTAGCTCGAGTAATGAATACCATTTCTTGAACTCGCGTTACGCTCGTTCGGTCCTCCTCGTCCGGTCCTCCTCGTCATCAAGAGTTTGTTGTTTGCCTTAACGCAGGTCCTGTGCCGTGCGGAAGGAGCCGAGTCCCGAAACGCCGACGGAATTGATAACCGCCACTTTGAATTGAGCATTGGCGCACGGGAAATTAAAGACTGGCCGAACGTCTTTGGTACAACAGCGATCTGACCCCAAAAGCTTTATTATGAATAATATTGGTCGCGAGAGCCTAGGTGTTAAACTGAGCATCTGATCAACTTAACGCACAGACCAATTCGCGCATCGTATGCCTGTATGTATGATGAACTTCTTTGGCACCGTACGTAGTCAACCGTGCCGATCGGAGGTGCGGGATAAGGGCAACGAGCTAAACCCAAAACAGTTCTACAGAAATGAGTTTTTCAATTTGGATTGAAAAGTGCATAGCTCCAGTGGCACTGTGGTGCTATTGCAAGCTTAAGGTGACACGGAGCATTCTACAAGATTTGGAATCTGTTGAGATTCGGTCTCTTATATTTCGATACATATCCACTGGAAATAATTATATGGTGTGTGAAAAGCATGTCCCCAATGTCATCCGAAGGAAAAAAAATCTGCATGTATTGAAAATAAACAATTCTCATGCACACGATTCGACCAATTTTAACAGGATTTTAATCAGGAGTAAGGAATCTGTTTTGATTGCATAATCCGGGGCTTCATTTCTCACCAGATCTATTCCGGATCGCCGATAGTGAAGCGAGTAGTTGGCAGATGATTAGCAAAAGGCCCAGTAAAGGTGTACCGTTGTGCTAAGGGTTTCCAACCACATCCCAGCGTAGATCCAAACCTTGGACGTTTTACTTTGTGTATGCAGGATGCGGGGTGTCAGATTCGAACATTTTCCAGGTCACGGATCCAGCTGAAATGACCCAGGCTAATTGTTGAAACTATCTTTTTAACGTATTTAAAAAAATATATTTTATTGTTGACAACGACCGTCTGTCGCCGTCGTCAGATTCACGCTGAACCTGCGCACCGCCGACGGGAATATTGCGCTGCACTTGAACCCGCGCTTCCAGGACGGTGACGCTGGCCGCGTCGTCGTCCTCAACTCGCTGCTCGGCGACAGCTGGGGCTCCGAGGAGCGGCCCGGAGAGTTCCCGTTCGCTGCGGGGGAGCCGTTCGAGGTGAGCTCTCAACGGTAACGCGTTCACAAGTTGGTTAAGGTGTGTGTGTGCGCGTGCGTGCGCGCGTGTTGGCATGTACGTCTTATCAACCGCGGGGAGCGGTGGTGTTGCGGCGAGTACGCCGCGCTACGGACCCGGCGACTCGAGTTCGATTCCCGCTCACGGCCAACATGAGTGACTATTATCTGAACCGGTCCTGGACCTCCCCGAGGTCGACTCGGCCTCGGCTCAATACCTGGTGCAATGTGTAAACGTCAGCACTCGGGGACGAAGGGGGCTGGGCGTGGTTGCTGGCCACCCACCCCCTCGTGTGCCATGTCAACTTTTGTAGGTGCCACGACTCGCTAACAGCGGCACACTCGCCCGCAACGCTGTCTTTGTAGGTGAGGCTGCGGTGCTGCGAGGATGTGTTCCGCGTGGAGGTGAACGACGTGATCCCGCTGTGCGACTTCCGCCACCGCGCCGAGGCCTCCAGCATCACCAGCGTCCACATCTCCGGCGACGTCTCCCTCTCCGCCGTCGAGACTTCCTAGGGCCCCCAGGGTGGGGAGGCGGCAGCGCTCGCGTGACGCTCCTGCGTCCACGCACGCGCCGTGCAGTGCTCTCATCGCTGTCATTTTCTGCTACGTTTTGGGCCCGATCTTTAGTGGGTTTGTAGAAAGGCGGTTGAGTTGGTGGGCCCCCTTTTTTTAAAGCCCTTTTTTGGTGATCTCCACCAAAAGTTTAGCAAGATTTAGTTTCCACTGCAATATGAAGCAGCATCCGATTTGTTTTGCTTTCTGCTTGTATCGGGTAACTTCGTTGAGCTGGAACAAAGCAAATTTTTCGATGTAATCTCTATGCTTGCTTCACCTGCCTCGTTGTCACCGCTGGCATTGCCAGCATCGCAGGAGGGGGTGAGCACGTGGGGTCGTTCGCAATGCCCTTCTGAAGTAACGCGAGTAGATGAACGTTCCACCCCCCGCTAGTGACACTACAGTACCAACACATTGATAATTGCGGAGGAAGGTTGAAGGACTCGAGATGTTTGCCGCTGACGAGTGAATACATTTTTTTGCCGTTGCTTGGCAAAGGAAATAAATTCACAAACTGCTCCGAATGTGCAGCGTGGTCATTGTGACGTGTGCTATTTTATTTTCAAGTCTCCTCCGGTGCTTCGTCTGCCCGAGATTGCTCCGTCGCGTCTGCTTGCTCCTCGTCCGGTGTTATTCGTCTCCTTTCCCCCGATTTGCTTAGACCGTTTAGCCCAAGGGAAATATTGGTAACATTTATCAAAAAGCAAGAGTGGAGTTTTGCATCCACGCTTGAGCATTCGAGAACCTCCTGAAGCTATCGTTCTCCTCGTGAAGCTCCATCTCTTATCTTGCCCCATAGACTCAAAACCGCCCCTATATATTCAGCAGTCTCCCTCAATCCCCTTTCGCGCCTGTTAAAGCCTCGCTTCTTCGCTATTGCCCATTCTTTTCTCTCCCCTCACCCCGCCACTCCTGCCCTGTTGTGACCCCCACGTGCCCTCTCTTACGGTCACTCATTCATTGGCCCTTGCACTGCCCCTGCCATCTAAATCAATATTGTGTTGCCGAATTTTGAAACCTGTTTCAAGTGACTCGAGGTAAGGTGCTCTATAAATATTATAAAGTCAGATTCTGATTATTTGAATCTCGGACTATTGTTTCACGCCTGCTGTTAGGCAACAGGAGGCTCGCCATAGCCTTGCAGGTACACTGTACCGATGATTTACTGACCGAACGAGTTTCCATCTATGTTGCGCAATGCGGAAACAAGGGCCATTTAAGATATATTTTTTAAATGTACTTCGTTTAAAAGGGACTGCATTAAACGTGGCACGGGAGCACGCATAAAAAACCCACACATCGACAATGGCTTTATAGCAGAACACGCGTAGAGTAGGCTGACATTAAGAGCAAAGGTCTTTTTCGTGACCAATAATGCGGACATTTATTTATTTCAATCCTAATCTCCAGTTCCTTGCATTGTACACTCGTCAGCCATGATCAATCTACTGCTGACTGAAGGCCCTCCCCAAGGTATTGCTCATGGTTCTGCGATGGAATAATGCAACCAAGAGCAGAGCTCCCCACGTGATTGTGTAGATGTCCCTTTGGATGTGCTATTAATATAGCAATTAACAATAGGACAACACATTCGAAAACACTATGGCCTTGAAAGGAAAAATGCTAGAGGCGATGTGTTGGGCAATTGCCCTTAATCCGATTCTAAGGAGATGAGGTGGGACCCGATGAGAATAAGATTTTTTTAATGACGCCAGTTTTAAAATCGGCAGGATTATTTACCCGATATTAGCGCTTGCATAATGCACAAACCCTTGAAGTAAAGTGTTACGATATAAGCTGCTCGGTATTAAAAGTAACATGATTAAATGTTGCCGGCACATTTCATTGAGGACGAGGCACAATGCACTTGGCAATGTATTCCTGGGCCCCAATAATTTCAATGAAATGATAACTGCGATGTAATTCACGAGGCGGAGGAATCTGAGAAACGAAACGAGGCACGCGAATATGAATACGAAAATAAAGTGACGCTAAAAGGGATGAGTCAATAAAACCATTAGCGTCGTTGCTTATAGATTCTCACATCGATCAGCAGACAGTCTCCTTGTCATATCTGTACCTCCACACATTAAATAAAGTATCTTGCGCTCGCCAACACTAGTGACGATTTTGCATGTTCTGTTTATGCGACAACCCTTACGAGTTGGCTGTGTCGGGTAGTGGCGGGTTTAACGACACATTATTTACGCGATCTAACCCCAAAAACCTGCTATGGATATTGGTGGCGAAAGCCTACGTGTTAAACTTGAGCAACCCGTATGCCCCACGGCAATCTGGGGGTGGGGGGGGGGTGCATCATTTCACCAGCATCGGTTCAACACGAACAAGCTCTGGACCCGTTTCGACATTGAGTGTCTCACCACCCGTATCGTGAAGTGAGGTGGGCCTTTGCCTGTACGATGGGCAGTTCACCAGCATTGATTCAAGTAAGGCTGACTGCTGATGAGACACTCACCACCACCATCACGCATCCACCATCGGCTGCCACCACCACGGGTGCCTGCGTTGTGTGGATAGGGGCCGTCCATAAATGACGTCACGCACCTGGGCGGGGGGGGGGCGGTGGTCAGACATTTGTGACGATGTGACGAAAGGGGGGGGGGGGGGGGTTGAGATATGTGACGGCACATGGGAAAATGCGCAACTTTGAATAAATATATAATTGCTATAACAACACTCCAACATCAGAGTGCAGCGCCACATTAAATACGCACTACGACAATCGTTTAAAGCGATTCGAAGCATGTTTTATTTTCAAAATGGAAATATGGTTTTGGGGGGGGGGGGGCAGAGCTTTGTGACGTCATTTGAGGGGGAGTGACTTTTTGTGACGCCGTTTGACAAGGGGGGGGGGGTCAAAAATCGTCCAAATTCGCGTGACGTCATTTATGGACGGCCCCTTACTATAAAAAAGTACAAACCACGTGGCTTTTTGCGTCTCAATATGGTGAGTTGTAGTAAGATGATGTCACCGCTGCCCTCCCTCGTGCTGTTTAAACGCGATGACGTCGTTGCAAATGGGAGCACCGCTCAACGGTGGAAGCGCGCGCCTTTGACAACGGTCGCCACGGGAGACGGTTGCTAGGAGACGGGAGGACGCGCTCCCCTGGACCAGACGCACGTGCTCGCCTCAACGGGTTAACGGGCGAGTGACGTCATCGCTGCCAACGACTTTAACGGCCGCATTCGGTGCATGGATGCACACTGCAACGACGCTGCAAGCTCTCGTACGTAAACTTGACGATTATTTTGTTTAATGTAACGTTGAATTTCGCTTTGGAGGTTGATCAAGAAGTTAATGTTGACATTGGCGATAGTTTATATCGGGCCGTGAAGTGGTGACGGCCAAAGTAAATGTTGAGTATCGTACGAGCCATGGGCAGGAGTCATTTCACTTGCGCTACAAACTCCGTAATCTGAGTTCGTTTCGTGTCCATGGCTAATGTCAATGTCCCCATCACCAACCCGCATTGACCAGCGTGGTGAAGTATGGTCAAACAACCCCCATATTGGTGCGGGGGAATGCCTTCAATCAGCAGTGGATTGCCATTTGGCCCTAAAGTATTTAATTGAATTATGTTGTTGATCGTGATTTCAGTAATGAGTGAATTCGCGTGTATGATGAGACTATGGCTGATGATGATGAATTAGCAAATATATACTTAGAAGTGTTGAAGGACTTACCCTGTCCTCTATGGATGCAACTGTCAACTTCCACAAGGCAAGACGTCAATTGTAAAAAATATATATTTAGTGATGTACAAGCACTATTAACAAACAAAAAAACTCACATTCCTCAATATCACTGGCCTTATGTGGGAAAATATATAATAGGAGACGTTTCGGTCAATAGCCCTACTTCATGGGAAAACAAGCATATAATTTAAAGTTACTACGAGCGGTACAACGGATTATAATTGGTAAATAACGACATTGACGATGATGATTAAAGACGACGGGCTATTGACGACGACGACGATAATTACGATGGGGATGATCGAAGTGATGTATAATTAATGGTTACAGTCACGATGGCGAGTAGTCGCGTGTGAAACGGCGTAATGTGAATGAATTAGCACCGTCCAACCGGCAGAAGCGCGCGCCTTGGCAACGGTCGCCAGGGGAGACGGTTGCTAGGAGACGGGAGGACGCGCTCTCCTGGACCACACGCAAACGGCAACGTCGCCATTGCTCCGGTATGTAAACTTTGAGATTATTGAGGTTTCATTTCCGTGTTAAATTTCGCTTTCGAGGTCAATGAAGGAGCGATTTTGAACATTGGTGATGTTTGATTTCATCTGATGCGGTCCCAGCTCCTTGGACGACCCGCCCTGACCGGCGCGGTGAAGTATGGTCAAACAACCCCCACGACCAACACCAGGGGGTCGGCCACCTGCGTCTCTTTAAGGATCGCTTCGTGGACCGTTCTTTAAGGGCCGCCTCTTATACACATGCATTGCGCCTCTTGAAATGTTGAGGTTTTTTTTTTCTGCAGAAATCGAAAAAAAGTGTCTCTTCTTGTTATTTTGGTTACCGATCCCTGACCAACACGGTGCAGGGAGGCCCTCTGATCAGTGGATTGGCAAAGGGCTGTACATTGTTGTTGTATATTTAAATAATCTCGGCTGCAGTAATTGAGCTAATTGTAGTGTACGTGTGTCTAATGAAACGTTGGCTGATTATGATGGATTACGGTGTGAAGTATTATGGTAAAATGTGTGCGTTCCTCGGTGGAGTAAACTGCCAGCTGTTCCAAGGCATGATAATGTTTTTTGGAAATGATGATTGATTAGATTGATTATTGCAGTAAATATTAATTACTTATACCGTGGTGAGCAGTGCAGCAAATGACGATGATGATGATGGCTGGTGAATAGATGTCGAATTGTATTATTTACAATTACGATGCTAGCAGCATTGTACACGGATTAATGTCGACGGTTATGATGATTGAACGATAATGACGACGACGATGTTATCATGGTGAGCAGGACAGAAAAGTATGATGATTATGTATGTATGTTGAACTTCTTTCGCACCGCACGCAGCCAACCGTGCTAATCGGAGGTGCGGGCGACGATGGCTGATTGATTGATGATGATTGACGATAATTCAATTTATTTTCAGGACAAAGTTGGCGAAGGAGCCATGCACCGACCGAAGCAGACCCTCACCAGCAGCACCATGCTTCGCTGGTGCTGCTGCTGCTGCTGCTCGCTGCTGCCACTGCTGTTGCTGACCACCAAAACCATCACCACCGCCGCCGCCACCACCACCACCACCACCGATAGCACCTCCACCGCCTCCAGCGACGACGAGAGCAGCTCCCTCCAATCGGGGCCCTGGGGCCCGTGGAACTGCAACTGCGCCGCGGGGTCCATGAGCCGAGCTCGGCTCGTCGCCGTGGCCCCGGGGAGCGAGAGGCCTTCGGAGGATGTCCTGGGCCTGGCAGGCTACCAGCGAGTGCCCTGCAACGCCCACGAGTGCAGATGCAGCAACGGCGAGGGCGACTGCGCGGCGATGCGAGAGTGCAAGTTGGGCACTGCCTGGAAGTGCGCGCGAGACGAGGTGAAGACTGCAGGCGCAGCACGAGGCGGGGCAGGAGGAGCAGCAGCAGGAGCAGGAAGGAACGCAGTGGCTGGATTCTTCGGGAAAGTGGCGGGTTTCTTCCACAGGCCGAAAGGGAAGCAAGGGTGAAGGAGCAGCAGCAGCAGCACGGCTTCACTTCAGCGAGCCCGAGCTGTCCGGAGCTGGGCTCTGGAATTGTAGTTACGTTGCCCTCCACCTGGAAAGATATCCACTTGCCTACCCCTGTATTTGAATTCACGTTGTCGTTTTTTTTCATTTACCGAAAGTCCGGGTTTTGTTCTCTATCTCTCTACAATGCACGCACACATATATCCACCACGCTTGTCTATTTTTGTTTTGTTTTACTGGAACCTGAGTTTAATGAAGAAACAAAAAAATTATTTCGATGCCAGCACCGAATTGGCACGGTGGCAATTTTGACGCGTTCCGAAGACAAGGACGGAACGCGTCTCGTGCGTTCGCGATTAGCTCGAGGTGGATCGATGCGATTGGATTGTCGAGATTAGATTCAACAATGGGATTACTTAAACATAGCGAAGGACCGGCAGCTCAATGCGGTAGCTCCACCAGGTAACGTGAGCCATATTACACGAACATTGATATTTACGCACGCGACCCCCATGCATGTATCGTGAGCTTAAGAGTTGATATCAGTGGACTCAATCTAATACACGTTTCCACTCTTAACAAAATGATTGCACATTTGTCATTCTTCTCGGTGGCGACCAACCATAAGGTGATCTGTGTGCGTTGGAAAAGGGCCATTGCCCGAAACGTCGCCTATTACATTTAGTTTTCCCTGTTAGGGGATTGTTATGGAAAAATCGACCACTGCACTGCTGCCAATGCAGTATCACAATAGGGTGTTAGTACGGTTGGCTATGTACGGTGGGAAAGAAGTTGAACGTGCGCGTGTCCCAGCGCTCTAAAAATTACCTGCAAATTACAGAGCGGAACTTCACTGCGATTCCACGTTGTAGCAACGTCGCCCCCTACTGCACAAACAAGGGTCGGAGACTCGATTCCTGCCGCACTGTGGACAGTCGTGTGTGTCAGTGGACTCATGCAAAGCCTACTGGTGTTCTTTAAGGGCTGCATGGTTAGAACACCGAACTTGCAACCCACAGGTCACCGGTGCTATATCCCACAGTGGCATTTGAGAGAAACAGCGTGGATCTTACAGCTACACCTACAAAGTTGAAATGGGGTTACAACCCCACAGTAGACCCGCAGGTCATGCGCGTGGTGGGGTTAAGTGAAGGTACTCCCACCGCTTTCCCCCCGCAAAACGTTTGGCGGAAGAGTCGGCCAAATAATATCTAGACTCTAGAGCAGCGGTCGGCAACCAAAAGAACTAGACATTTGTTATTATATCAAGAGCCGCAATGCCAGTTGTTAATACGAGACTGGTGGCCCTTAACGTGACGAAGAGGTCCTCAAAGAGCCGCATGCGGCTCCGGAGCCAGAGGTTTGCCGACCCCTGCTCTTAAGAGGAAGTTCTCTCCCTGTCGAGGAAGCTCCCTCGACTTGAGAGGGAGCGCTCTCTAAGGGGAGCTCTCTCTAAGAGGAGCTCTCTAACGAGTGGGAGCTCTAACGAGAGAGCTCTCACGCTAGAGAGAGCTCTCAAGCTAGAGGGAGCTCTCTCGCTAGAAGAGGGAGTTCTCAAGCTAGAGGGAGCTCTCAAGCTAGAAGAGGGAGCTCTCACGCTAGAGGGAGCTCTCACGCTAGAGGGAGCTCTCACGCTAGAGAGAGCTCTAACGCTAGAGGGAGCTCTCAAGCTAGAAGAGGGAGTTCTCAAGCCAGAGGGAGTTTTCAAGCTAGAGGGAGCTCTCACACTAGAGGGAGTTCTCAAGCTAGAAGAGGGAGCTCCCTCGCTAGAGAGAGTTATCAAGCTAGAGGGAGCTCTCACGCTAGAGGGAGCTCTCAAGCTAGAAGAGGGAGCTCTCACGTTAGAGGGAGCTCTCACGCTAGAGGAAGCTCTCACGCTAGAAGAGGGAGCTCTCACGCTAAAGGGAGCTCTCAAGCTAGAAGAGGGAGCTCTCACGCTAGAGGGAGTTCTCACGCTAGAGGGAGCTCTCAAGCTAGAGGGAGCTCTCACGCTAGAAGAGGGAGCTCTCAAGCTAGAAGAGGGAGTTCTCAAGCTAGAGGGAGCTCTGAAGCTAGAAGAGGGAGTTCTCACGCTAGAGGGAGCTCTCAAGCTAGAGGGCGCTCTCACGCTAGAGGGAGCTCTCACGCTAGAAGAGGGAGCTCTCACGCTATTGGGAGCTCTCACGCTAGAAGAGGGAGTTCTCAAGCTATAGGGAGCTCTGAAGCTAGAAGAGGGAGCTCTCACGCTATTGGGAGCTCTCACGCTAGAAGAGGGAGCTCTCACGCTAGAGGGAGCTCTCACGCTAGAGAGAGCTCTAATGAGAGCTGTCAAGCTAGAGGGAGCTCTCACGCTAGAAGAGGGCGCTCTCACACTAGAAGAGGGAGCTCTCACGCTAGAGGGAGCTCTCACGCTAGAGGGAGCTCTAACGAGAGCTGTCAAGCTAGAGGGAGCGCTAAAGCTAGAAGAGGGAGCTCTAACAAGAGGGAAATCTCACGCTAGAGGGAGGTCTCATGCTAGAGGGAGCTCTAACGAGAGAGGGAGCTCTCACGCTAGAGGAAACTCTCTCGCTAGAGGAAGCTCTCATACTAGAGGGAGGTCTCTCACGCTAGAGGAAACTTTCACGCTAGAGGAAGCTCTCATGCTCGAGGGGGGTCTCTCACGTTAGAGGGAGCTCAAACGAGAGAGGGAGTTCTCTCCCAAGATGGAGCTCTCTCACTCGAGGGAGCGCCATCTCGAGCTCCCTTCCAGAGGCCCTTCCACCAGCAGTGGTTGTGAGCAAGCAATTGCAGAGCTGCATCTTTATCTTCTAGAAGGGCAAACAAAAAACGCGTTCAAAGGTGCTTAGTCTCATGCGACATATAAATATAAACATTCACCCATAATAGAGGTATTTTAGTTAGCGTAAATAGTAAGGGTTGTCACGTAAACAGAATATGTCAATTCGTCACTAGTACAGCACACCGGTGTGTTGGAGAGCCAAGCCACAACATTTACAATCTGAGTTCGACGTTTCGCCAGTAATTACAACTAGCTTCATCAGGCGACAGCCATTTTTGTTGAGAAGTCCACATGTTTCGTTCCTTATATAGAGGAGGCGTAGATGTGGTGACCACGCTTCTGCACCCTTGCGCAAGGTGGGGTGGGGAGGGATTAATGAGCCAACGTACATTATGCATGCGCATTATGTGAGCCGTTTGATCTCGTCTATTAAGGATGATATTAGTCGCGAAAGCCTACGTGTTAAATAAACATTCACATGTATCAATCATCAGCCAGTATTAATCCACTGCTGGATGAGGGACTCAAGCCATTGTCATCCACCTCTTACAGCTGCCTGAAATAAGCCATATCCAGTACAATAATTCCCCGCTTAATGGGGTAGATGCGTTCCTGAAAAGTGTCGTGTTAAGCGAAAAACTCGTTTAGCAAGATACGATGTCCACACACAGATGGCCGGACAAATAAGTTTGAGTATGTCGCCGCGCAGCTCAAGAAAGTAGTTCGCTGTCGACCGCTCAGACACCACGTCATAACGGGGTGCGCGTTCCGTGTTGTGCGGTAAGTGTTCCCGAACGGGAACACTTATCGTGAATGGGAACACTTATCGTGAGGCCATTTAAAGGTGAGGCATTGTAAGCCGAGGCCATTTAAAGGTGAGGTATTGGAAGATGAGGCCATTTAAAGGTGACGAATTGTGAGGGGAGGCCATTTAAAGGTGAGGAATTGGAAGGTGAGGCCATTTAAAGTTGAGGCATTGTAAGGTGAGGTCATTTAAAGGTGAGGAATTGTTAGGTGAGGTCATTTAAAGTTAATGTTTTGTAAGGTGAGGCCATTTAAAGGTGAGGAATTATTAGGTGAGGTCATTTAAAGGTGAGGCATTGTAAGGTGAGGCCATTTAAAGGTGAGGAATTGTTAGGTGAGGTCATTTAAAGGTGAGGCATTGTAAGGTGAGGTCATTTAAAGGTGAGGAATTGTGAGGGGAGGCCATTTAAAGGTGAGGAATTGGAAGGTGAGGCCATTTAAAGTTGAGGCATTGTAAGGTGAGGTCATTTAAAGGTGAGGAATTGTTAGGTGAGGTCATTTAAAGTTAATGTTTTGTAAGGTGAGGCCATTTAAAGGTGAGGAATTATTAGGTGAGGTCATTTAAAGGTGAGGCATTGTAAGGTGAGGCCATTTAAAGGTGAGGAATTGTTAGGTGAGGTCATTTAAAGGTGAGGCATTGTAAGGTGAGGCAATTTAAAGGTGAGGAATTGTTAGGTGAGGTCATTTAAAGGTGAGGCATTGTAAGGTGAGGTCATTTAAAGGTGAGGAATTGTAAGGCGAGGCCATTTAAAGGTGAGGTGTTGGAAGGTGAGGCCATTTAAAGGTGAGGTGTTGGAAGGTGTGGAATTTTACTCCGTGGCCTCTGGTTTTTCCCTCCATATTTACAAACACGCGTTTAGAGTATTTGGCTGCTGCCTCAAATTTCCACGTGATAAGCCACTTCGTTGCGCTATCATTTGTGGCTATGTTGCTTCTGAAAAAGAGCTGTAAACCTCAGTGGGCCTTAACTGGTAAAAGTAAAATAGTTTTTAAAATAAATAATATTTGGCATCATGTGTAAGGATACTAGAGTATACCCGGAGAAAGCCAACCATGCATACGAAGGGATAAAACTGAAAGCTGCGTACAGAAGGATTCAACACATTTGCTATCGTCTAATCTCCTGGTCACCTCAGGCCAGCGGGTTTGGCAGTTTCACAAATCTCTGCGAGACCCATCCACTGGCGGGGCCAGTGGGGGGTGGCACGTGCCCCCCCCCCCCCCAAATAATCCGATCGATATCCCTTATTTCGATCGGATCATTTGGGTTTATTAGTAATAAATCAGAATTTTGCGACCCCCACTGACACTGTCGCATATTATTACGTGCCATGGACTCTTTGAGATGATAGGACAATAGTCTGAGTCCATAATTGGCAATAAGTAACGGAAAAGCAGTTATAAGTGACTCACATAATTGTGCGCAGTTGCGTATACAGTACACGACTTTCCTGAAGGCATCAACACCTTCAGCGAGCGCGATGCCGATGACACAACAACGCGGTTCGAATTCGACCCTCGATCGATGGCTGCGCCATCGCCGCACACGCGTCGAATAAAAAGCAAGGGACAAGTCCTCACTTATTAACAACTCCTCTATAATTTTTCATTGCTGGAGGGGTTGCCCCCCCCCCCCCCCACCTGAAAATCCTGGCTCCGCCATTGGATCCATCAACCCTCCGTTCGAAAGCTTCGGATCACAGACGTGGAGGACAATGTTGATAGTTCGCCCAACCGATGATGAACGACGTGAACCCATTTCCAGACGCAGTAAATCCATACGCGCTCACAACACCGGATAAATAAAACACGCTGCTGCTAATAGGCATCGACCGCCCTGGCTCTTGCCATTACAGCAGCTCCGCTCTATAGCCTTAATGTCATCAACGTCAGTCTGTGCTCACGTGCACCCTTGGCGTTTTTCCTCGTGACCATCCATGCCCTTGGTTCATCGCTGCCCCCGTCTGCGTGACCATGCCTCCCATGCCCTCTCCACTGGGTCGTGTCTCAATGCCCCGTCCAGAACGCCGTTTTCTTCCGAACCCCAATGCACTTTCCTCACCTCGTGGCCATGTTCCTGGTGCTCCTAAGGCCCGACCGAACACGTCACAATGCCCAGGTAACACCATGCCCCCCATACACGCGGTCATGCCCAGGGTCTCAATGCCCCATTCCAAACGACCACACCTCTGTTGGTCCCATGCCCCTCCAGCGCCCCTTCCCATTGTCTGGATCTCCCTTCGCCCAACCATCCGTACTGTCGACTCCATACCCTCCCTGTTCAATTCCAGGCTCTGCACCTTGGGTAGTGTCCCCCCCCCATGCTTATGCCATACGGCCGAGCGCTCAAGACAAAATCACTGGATCGCGCCGGAGCTCGCTCGATCTCGGAAGCGAAGCAGGGTTAAACTTGGAAGGCTGCTTGATTGCTTTTCCATCAGTGCACAGATCAAGTGCTGTAGTCTGCTCCGTGGTTACATTGTGGGCAGCACCATGCTGCTGTACTGCACTTCAAAGCTCCCACGTCTATGCTTCCTGTATATGATTTCTCTTTACTGATTTTGACTCCCTGTCGCCACCAATCCGCACAGGCCAGCGTAGTTAAATATATATTGTTATCATGGTTACTGAGCATAGATCCAAAAACACAACGTAGGCAGAAACACAGAGCAAACACGATTACATTTGTAAAAGAGCTAATACGTTTATTAAATTGAGCTGTACGTCTTTTGGCGTCATCTGGTCGAGCACCAATTGGGTCGAGGCTCAAAAGAAAGCCGTCCCTTGGTGTGGACCAATCAGTTGCAAGGACAATGCATAATATATTATTATAGTATGTTTTTTTGTTTGCATTTTGACTGCAGGCATTGTGGTTAATGCAGACATGAATCTTTGCAAAAAGGTTTCAGTTTTGTTGCCAGAAAAAAAGGGGGAAAACCCTATTCTTAACGTTATAAGAATTTGGAAATAACTTATGCGACATCCACCGGTATGTGTGTGTGGGGATAATCCAGCAGTGGACTAACATACACCTTATGCACTGTACAGTACTGTATGATTGTGCTATGAAGGTGCCATTGCCTGAAGCTTCGCCTATTTGATAACTTTATTTTTTGTAAGGCCATAGACTTATTGGCGAACACGGTGTGGGTTTGCGTACAGGGTAAACCAGGTGCCGTGGGACCCCCATTTAATTATCTAAAACTTTCTAGTAATAAAAAAGTTATGTTTATTTAAAAAAATAAATGAAATATGGAAAGGGAAAAACAAAAGCATGTTAGGGGGTCATTTAATTGTGGCGGTCACACGACATCTGGACCACCACTCTGTACGTTTGTAATTCAGTAGTTCTTAACCAGGGGTGCACGCACTCCTTAGGGGTGAAAGGTGCCCTTTCTGGGGGTGCGAGACATGGCCAGATTTTTTTTGAAGATAAATAATAGAAAATCCAAATTAAGCATGGGCACGTAAGTTACAACTATGCATGTATTAACATGATACATTTTTAACGATTGCGAAACACAGTGGTGCAAGGCTGCAGTCAAGGTTAAGAACCACTGGCATAATTGGTGCGCGTTGGCCATACAAGTCCACTCCACGTGTCTATGGCTCCACGTGGAACCGAGGGGAGGGGGAGAGGTGGGGCGGGGCTGGGGCGGGGCTAGAGAGGGGGGGGGAGAGAAGGGGGGGAGTGGGAGGGTTGAGAGGGAGGGGGAAGGGAAGAGAGGGGGGAAGAGAGGGAGGGGGGAAGGGAGGGGGCAGCGACGGGGGGGGGGGGAAGAGAGCGGGGGGTGGGAAGAGAGTGGGGGGTCAAGAGAGTGGGGAAGGGAGATAGTGGGGGGAGGGGATAGAGGGGGGAGGGGACAGAAGGGGGAGGGGACAGGGGGCAGAGACGTCACGCGCTCGCGCTAGGGACGCCGGGAAGAAACCCGTCAACACCAACATGGCCGACGCCGACTTGCGGCTGTGAGCGAAGCTGCGAAACCAGGTAAAAGGGCGACAATTACACAGACGATTAAGCTGCTCATTAAACGCGTTGCGCTTAGTGAAACTACGGCGGTGACGGCGGGGATTAAACGCGGCGCACGGGTGTCGTCGCTAAGGCGGTGGACGCACCTGAAGGTGTGGGGAGTGTGTTGTGTCTGCGGGACCGGCCCAGGCCGCCCGTGTTAATTGAGCTCGGTTTTAATTGCTAATTGCTGCTAATTGCTTGCTGTTTTGATTGGGTTTCGTGTCGTGCTCGCTTTGTGTCGCTGTGGAACAGGTGACAGCCTAAGTGCGCGTTCGTACGGTCCTCTAACTTGGCTTGACTTCCATGGTTTGAATCCATCTGTGCGGAGTTTTTAGTGTTATTCCACCCCCCCCCCACCTCCCAAGCTTTCATGTGTGATGTGTTTTCTCCCTGTTCTTATATTTTACTCACACACTAAGCCAAACTCATTCACGGAATTGGCCAAACGTTCCAGTTGAGCAGGACCCTCTTTTTAAAGATTATTGGGACTCTTTATAGCTTTCCTCTGTAAATTGTAGGTTTCGTTTGGATGTACTGTCCCCCGCCATCGTGATGTGGAATTGCCACCACGAAACAGGAGAATGAGTGCTGCTCTCCGCTCGTTTGATTAAGAACCCACGTTGGATCATCTCAATGAATTCAATGATGAAGAATTGAATCCAGTTGGGTGCGATACGATTTGAATGTTTAAAACCAAGTTCTCTTTAAAATTACAGTTCGCTTTTTGGTTGTTATCGCCACTCAGGCATGTTTAGTTCAGTTGTGTGAAGGGCGCCACGAACACTTCACTGGACCAATCCGTAGCGATTCGCTTTTGACCACAAATGGGAAATGCTCAACAGATGCTCAAGAATAAAAACAAACTTTTCTCGCCACAAAGTATCGGTGACTGTCCCCCACGGCGCTTGTGCCAGGCTAGGTGCACTTCGAGACCACGTGAAGTGTCGAAGGCTCCTCTGCTGGCATGAGATCACGGTGCAGACCCTGGTGCCATTGGGTGACCGACCGATATGACTATCAGATACTCTCACATACGCGTACGATATGTATAGTCGATTAACCTTTCCCATGTACAATGCTCTCGAGCGCTTATACTGTATACACACATATGCTCATGTATTCATGAACACCTTTCCATAATCTACGTATGCACGCACGCACACGTATACATTATTTTGCTCTGTTGGTGACCGCTTGGCATTTTGAGCCTGTGCTTCTCATCCGTGATACAATATATATATAAAACAATGTTTACATAGCAGTGAATTGACAACGGGCTGTGCATGCATCGATCCGGGTTCTATTCTTATTAGATGGCTCATTGGCAGAACGAACGGCCCGCAATCGGACGGTTCCCATTTCAATTCCTTGCTGGGTTAGTTGACTCAGCCCATCATTTTGTTGGGGTCGATTGTTTACGCCCCACTTTGTGTGTGTGGGGGTGGGGTAGTCATCAGTTGCTGTCCTGTGAATAGATTCTTTCCAGCATAGGATGGTGGAATTGTCACCACTGGCTCAGGGACTGTAAACAAGGGGATGTGAACATCGCCTTAATGAGCACAATGAGCAGAAAACAATTAGGACGCTTTCAGACGCTACGCTGGCTTTATTCACAATTGAAGGGATATAGTGCCTACGCAGGGAAACGATCTAGTTGCAGGCGAAATCCTTATTTGAAACTAATAAACAGGGTAAGTCACCGTGTCTCTCGAGTACTGGCACTGTACACGACTTTAACCGTGCCACTGATGGGGGTGGAGTGTGCTAGTTCAGTCTAGGAAGTGTTGCCTGCATTCGTGCTGACAAAACCTGAGCGCTTTTAGTGTTTGTTTTGGCTGGATATCCCAGGGGCCACATCCTTGTGTGTGTGTGTATCGCACGCGCATCTCGGTGATTCAATATTTTTTTTGCGGAGTATTTGCCGCGGTACACTGAGTGGCAGCGTGTGTTGTAAAACAAATCAGTACGGTTGTGGACACTCGCCAGTACAAGGAAACCTGCACGACACGTGGCGATGCGAGGACAATATAAACGTGGGGGCATCTCGGGGCAATCTGCCTTATACGGAGAGGAGGCCAGCCATATGAACACCCTCTTTTTGTACGCGTACACGGATATCCCTTTGTAAATCCACTGCTGGATGATGACCTCCCCACACCAGGGCTACGTGGTGGGTGGGAGATGGCAGTGTGGCAATATCCCTTGCTTGACTTTACTTCTAACTGCATGTGCCCTCCGAAAGTTCCCCCAGAGATCTCTGCTGACCATAACAGTTGAGGCAAAATTCGATGATTGGGCAATAATAATATTCAGATTTACGATTAGATAAAGACTTGGCCTAGCAATGGTATTACATATCTGTATTTCATAGTACTTGTTACATTATATTTGTGTTTTATAGTTGTCCATCATATTAATTTGTTGGCCTGGCTTGTTTATAAATTACTGGATTCATCAATATAATAATGGCATTTGGATTAATATCGAGTCTAAATGTCATCTGATTATCTCAAGGCACTGCGTACACGTTTAGGGGATGTGGCCTGGCATTGCATCAAATCAGATTCCACGTGGCTTTTCCGTAAGGTCGCTATTTGTCACCAATTCAGTGTGTTTTTGTTTTACATGTATCGCAACTTCTGCTTAATTCCCATACAGAGGTATTTTCCACATTGAGAGACTTCTGTATGTCAAAGCAAATGTTGGGCTTGCATCTTATAATCCGTCAAGTGTGACCGGGTTTTTACAACTGATTTGAAATGGTTACAAATGTGGGGCGCGTCTTACTTTCTGGAGAATTGCACAATTTGGAGGTTATTGTAATATGCATTGCTCCAGATAAAGTTCGTTGATTCCTTGATTCATTTACCCTCCAGTTTTTAAACTATGTGAGTAAGATATATTTTCAGGGAATAAAATGCATCTGTGCTTTTAAGTTTAACCTGCAATGTTGCTTATTTTGACTTAAAGCTATCGTCACTGCAGGAATTCATATTCTATGGTTCTTTTGGTAAAGTCACGTAGATAGAAACAAACATAATAAAGTGAATCTTTTTTAATTTTTATTTTATTTTTTATTACTGAAAGCACCAAGAATACGTCTATATTATAGACTGCCAGTACGCTCACTCAGGTTAAGAACCAGGCTGCAGTCGACATTACAGAATGCCAATACGCTCACCAAGCTTGAAAACCAGGCTACAGTCTACATTATAGACTGCCAGTACAGTCACTCCGATTAAGAACCAGGCTACAGTTTACATGAATGATTTTTTCGTTTATTATTTTTATTAAATTTTTTTTATCATTTTTATTGACTTTATTTTTATATTTTTTCTATCTACGTGACTTTACCGAAAGAACCAAAGAAAATGTTACTTGTTACATGAACTTGGTATATACTCCTGTGGAAAACTTGGTCTTACAAACCTGATAGTTTCTCAATGACAATCTTTCAAATACCTTTTATTCCTTCAAAATTGTGTTCTACTTCAAAATAAACCAAAATTATTGTAGTTTTTCGGTACAAATGACAAAATTCTCCTTCGTAGGACCCACAGACCACATTGATGACTGCACTTTTATCTCGCTTGCATCAGTTTTTTTTCATGTAGACTTAAGCCACACAGAAACATTTCAATGAGTATTATTACACATTAAACTTAAATGGCACGTGTAATTAACATTGTTATGATGTGTAAATTGCATGCAACGAATGCATTTTGTAATTAGATGCCCTCATTTTTATGCGGGGTAGATTGGTGGAACTTGGCAACCTGAGTTTCGTTGCCAGCCGCGGCTAATGTCATTAGTATATGAACCAGTTCTGGGCCTGCCGCCTCCTTCACCAACACGCACAGACTAGTATGGTCACGGGCTAGTCATTGAACAAAGACGGCCACTGCGTATCACGGTTTCAGAGCCGCTTCTGCGGCTGTCTGGAACACTCTTCCTTGCGCTATTTTTCAATCTAGTTTGAAAACTCATTTCTTTAGAACTGCTTTTTTGTGTTTAGTTTGTTGTCCTTCCCCTGCACCTCCGTTTAGCGCGGTTGGCTACGTACGGTGCAAAGGAAGTTCACCATACACATGTGACTGAAAGGCATGGACAGGCCATTGTCCAACAGTTGATTGATGGAGGGCTATACATTTTAAAAATTAATGTTCATGTGTCAGACGGGATCAGATCGCTCATGGTAGATATTTTGGCGCAGTAGAAATGGATACAAAAAAAATGCTTTACTTTAAATGAGTTTGTTTTAACTTAGTTGATTTGTTATCTGCCTTGATTGGTTTATTTTCAATATTGAGTGCTGATGCAGTGCAAATCTGTTGTACAAAATTCACTGTTAATTTGATGGCAGTGTTGCACACTTCAGTATTTGTCATGAATACTCCCACAATGAAACCTGTTTTCCAGCACAACACCACTAGTGCAGTCAGCTCTTTCATGGTCCATGATCATTGGGGCTTGTGCAACTGTGTGTGTGTTACATTATAAACGGCACGTTTGTATAGCTGCTGATGCTGCTCACTGAACTTTGGCACAGCACTTTGATTTTTAAGCCTTGCAGATGTGTTAAAAGCCAAGTTCCATTGTGATCGGCAGTTTAGACTATGCTACTTGTTAAGGACTAGTGCTTGCCACGATATTTTGGCCTCTGTTTCACAACAAATTTAAAGGGTTGCACTCTCTTAACGCCTCTTGACCACATTCTGTTGGCGACCACCGCAAATAAAAACGCATGTGGTCTCCAGCTTCGGGACTACGATGTCGGCAGAGGACAGAATGGTAAAAACCATGATTGTATGGTACTATGCTCCAACGTCCGTGCTCCCCGCCTTCACAAACTCGCATGAACCAGTGTGGTGAAGTATGGTGAAGTATGGTCAAATAACGCCTATTGCCCGCACGGTGCGGGGAGACTGTCTTTTAGGGGTAAATTGGGGGGAGGGGTGTGTGGGTTAAATGTCGTTAAGTTAACTGCGTGTTCTGTGCATACCGACATACATAATTAAAACGTATTATACCGGTGCATGTCAAATCAATGAGTATCAATGTTTGAAAAAAAAATGCTGAGTGCATTTCTATTATCATTATTTAATAAAGAAACACTATGAATGTACGTTACTGCAGTGTATACATTACAGAATATACCTTTTACATTTATTACAATAAAATTTACATGGGTACAGTATATGTACTGAGACAGAAAAAAATATACTTTTGATGTATACATGACGTAGCGTATGAAACCTACCAAATGTGTGTAGAGCATCCACCACTGGCTGAGGGTTGTAAATAGGAAATTAATACTGCTTCAGCCTCGCACTGAACAGGGACAGTACTTTGACAGTTGGCTTTTGTGTACGGCTTGAAACATTACTCCACAATATCAATACACGGTACATGTTTAAATAATAAAGCACAGCAGCAGCCGCTACTGGTTAATATTGCAACACGTGACCGGCATGCTCTGCGATGTGTTTTCGGGTTTGCACCTCATGTTGTTTGGCATGATGTCTGACGTTTCGTTGCACATGGCTGGAGGCTTCTTCAGGAAAACCGGCGTCAAAGAGCTTTACAGCACAACGGCGCGAAAAACCTACGCGGCAGAATTCTATTCGACTCCGCGCGCGGCCCGTCCGTGTCGGCCAACGTTTCGTTTCTTGTCTCCAAACCGCTCTGCATGCGCAGGCCGAGCAGCGGTGGCGGGCGGGGGGCGGGATCAAGTCATGGCCAGCGGCAGGCAAGGCCACCCGTCGACAGCTCCAGCGGCGTCGGCGGCGGCGTTGGCGCGCGGCAGGGCCACCGAGGAGCTTGGCAAGGGCGGCGTCGTCGCTGCAGCAGCGGCCCGCGCCAAGGCACTCCACCCGAGCCGCTCGCTTCCGGATGTGTGCCCCAACGACTCTTCGGTGCCACGTGGGCAAGGTGGCTCACGGCGATGTCTCGCGGCACGGAAGCGATCCGTTTGTAAACCCATCGCCAGCAATAGAGGGGCAGCACAAGTAACACCATCGCGTGAATGCGAGTCGCTAGGTTCCGTGATATTAGGCGCACGTGTGAATGCTAAAGCAATTGAGGATGCTGTAGTTATGGGAAGGCTGGCGAAGCCCACTACTGGTTCCTGGTATGCCTATACTGTTGCTGCTGCTGTCTGTTGGCTGAGTTGCCCTTGAAAAAAAGGTTTATAGATCACTGGGTTATGCTTGAGTCATAAACTTGTAAAATGTATTAACTTCTGTACATGCCACTTCATATTATACCTGTCACTATGGACTTTGCATGCACATTGGAAAACTAAAATATTTATTTGCAAACTCAATCGTGAACCTAAATTGTGAAATTTCATAGTTGAGCGAAAATTATGAAGGCGGTTAAGCATATGTTTGAGCAATTATTTATCTTCACCGTAATTTTATCCAAATATTATCATCTCATGAGACTGTCATGTAGCGTGAGCATTGCAACCTTTCCTGTTAGAGAATTGTCCACACGCAGTTATCACAGAGCTACCTCTGCTACCTCTGATCCTTTCGAGTGATTATTGAGTCACGCAACAGTGGGCAAAACTTTCTCACCCGGTCTGTCCTGAGAGTAATTTCCATTTCGCAGAAGTAAAACAAGACGTTTTATATTCTTGAGCAGAAATTCAGCCAAATGTAGTGGAGAACCAAATTCAACCTGATGTTTCTCTGTGTGCGGTCATCAACGGTGATCAGGCCAAGACCATCGGCTGTTTTACATTTAATTGAGGGCAACTGAAACCTAGATTTGAACGCAGATTCTCAGCGGTGCCAACTCTGCTCTCTCTGATCTCTGAGCCACCGGGGGCGACCACCTCCATCCTCCCCTCCACCGCTCATTGCTTAATTTGTTTCGCCAACGCCGCCAGATGGGTTGCGGGAGGCCCGGGATGGGCCGAGTGTGGTGACGGACCAGCACAAGTGGACGGTGTACCACTCGAAGGTGAACCTACCGGCGGCGCTCAACGACCCGCGGAGGGCCAAGCGCGAGTCCGACTTCTTCACCAAGACGTGGGGCCTCGAGTTCACCGAGGTGCCCGTCCAGCCATCGCCCCACCTGCCGGAGGTGACGCGCGAGGACTTTGAGAAGTACCTGAGCAGCACCAGCAAGGTGGGCAAAGCGATGCCCACGGGTCACCACTTATGCATTATATAATTGGAAAATATACCCTACCTTTGTGAATATTTAAATGTTTTTTTTTCCAAATATTGTGTTCTTGATTTGTTCTCGATGTAACCCCCCAGGTCTTTAATAATCAAGAGGCATTGCCTTCTCACATGTCTCCAGTGGGTTTATTTTTAATCTCCCGCTTGTATTAAGGATACGAAACAAACTAACCTCTTTTGTCCAGCTGCACAAAACCACAAGAGACTTGAATTTACGGCACATTGTGATGGAGATGGAAGGGTTGAAACATTGTCTGATGTTTTGCAGGAGATAACTTGTACAGTGTGAACATTTACAGGGAAGACCGAACAGCGAGAATCTGAATTCTTGTCTATGACCGAACCACCAGAAATGCGCCCGATCTCATCATGTCTCGGAATTTTAATCAGGAGGGAGCCTGGGTTGTGCTTGACATATGCAGGAATTAAGAATGTAACCTTTACTATGCTGGCATTTTGTCTCCAAAAAGTATTATTTCTATTAACAGCCTTCTGCATGATCACAGGTTAAATTAAGTTGTTTTAACGAGTGGCTTCTTGTGCCCTAAATCTCAGGGCCCAGCGCGGTTAACCGTGTGTGTCTGTTCACTCGCAGTGTTACGCAGTCCACCAGAAGTGCCAGGCTACCTGTCCGCAGAAGGACGAAGTGGATAGGGTTCTTGATGCTGTCAGTTGCACGCACGGTGAGTGGGTACATGAAGGCCGTTTACACATTTATTCTGTGCTTTCGGTTTAATGTCCTTCCATTCGAGTTTTCGAGCAGTGCTGTGTGCAACCCTTTGTGTTGGAGAAAAGCCCTCGTATCTAGTTTGTATTGTATTGTCTTTAGTTGATCATTTACTCAAGTTTTGAACCCCCACTTTATTGCTGAAACTGAAACAAGATTGTTCGGAACATTTTCTTTGGTTGTGGCTGTATTGGTTTTTAAAATTACATACGTTAACTTAACTGTTTATAGAAACGAGTGTTGCTGAATTTTTTTTTATACAATCCCAAGTGAATCATTAAGCCTTTCTTATTGTATCTTCAACAGGTAAACAGCAAAGTGATCTGGAACAAGTGCCTAAAGTAAGTTAAACAATAATCGCCATAAACTCAACAGCGCATTACACATTGATAGTATAGGTGAAGGGTGGCCAACCTGAAACAGACCAAGAGCCAAAAAGTACCGAGGAGTTCTGCAAAGAGCCAAGTGTCTATATATGTAGACAGTTTTCAGCACAGCACGAGAGACATTCGTTATTCTTTGCTACGACTACGATGGTGCATTCTACGTTACGCCCCTTCGATCGAGCCACATGTGGTGTATTAACGAGCCGCATCCGGCTCGGAAGACGCCAGTTGGCCTCCGCTGGTATTATAGGTCATGCGACACCACAACATCCATCAGATTTCATGGTTTAATTTATATTCTTAAATTATATGCATATTATTCTGTAAAGGAGTAGACAGAAATGATCGAGAACACATGAATATAAGTAGAACAGTTAGAGACGAAGGTGCCTATAGAAAGCTGTCATCTAGCATGAAGTTGACAAAGGGCTGTGCATGTGCATAAATAGACCGAAGATGCTTTAGAAGATAACACATACACGTGTGATTATTTAAACCTTATGACAATTGAATATGAATGAACTGAGTTTATTACCAACTGTTGAGTTTGGAAAGCCATTCCATGGCATTTAGGGTCACCAGGTAGATTTCATTTGTACCTTCTGCAAAAGTGTGTGTTGGACAATTATCAGTGATGGATTACACTTCACTCGCACATAGACCCACATGCTCATAAATAGCCATGCTGCGCGACACAATGTTACGCGAGTGATGGATTGCACTTATCCACGGACACATTTAGGTGACTCATTCATTCTCCGCTTATGAAGGAGGCGGTCGTACCACCCATGTGTCGTTTTAACCCGGTTATGTGAGGTCCAGGTGCTTGCGAGACAGAGAAACCAGGTAGTTCCTCCCTTGTATCTTTAATTTGTGTCCTGTTCGGGACATCGCAGGCAGACCACATAGCTCACCACCGGACTGTCAGTGGCTCTCGCGTCCGACTCGGGCATCTTGACATGGGTCCCCGTGATACAAGGCAATTTATACTTGTACTTGTTTTATATGGGGGGGGAGGTCAACGTTCAAAGGTGCATCCTTGTACAATGCGGACGTTGGTGTTCTCGTCCTTCAGATGTTTCTGAAGCCAGACTTTGCCCTGGAGGATCCGGCCACGTTCAACACGGTGCTGCCCTGGTCACAGTTTGGCGGCGCGCAGCAACGCGTGGGCGCCAGAAACGCTCCGGCGGTGCCCGACGGATTCTCTTCGCGCCTCCTGCAGGAGAAGGTGCGCGTCGCCACGAATTAATCCCTCGCGCCACAACGGAGAGTTGCGGGTCGATCGCAGTATGCGAGGTGTCTGTGAAAAGTATCGTCCGTCATTGAGGATTGTAATTTAAACAGTTTTCGCCTTTGATCAAGTCACCCATAATCTGCCCAGTCTTGTCAGACCTTAGAAGATAAGCAAGTTTGAACCTGGATTGTGTCTGGATGGATAACCGCCGTGGATAGGCAAGCCATTATAGGCTGCTGCGGGGCATTGATTAACCATATTAATCAATGTGTTTATAATGTTAGTATCTTAATGTATTTATATCCATTGTTAAAATATTATAAAGTACTTTTTTGGGTGTAAAAGGGTAACTTTCGATGCTATCGGAACGAATTAAGCCTTTAACATGCATTTCATATACTCGCTTAATGACTAAATAAATTAGTGACCGATTTCGTGGAACCAGTTTACCGTCGTTAAGAGGGGCTCTACTGTACTTTACTCTGCTGCAATGTCTGTGTTCTCTGCCTTCACCTATCCGCACTAACCAGCATGGTGAAGTACGGTTAAATAACTCGGCACGACTCGCTCGGCATGGAGAGGTCCTCACCCGGCAGCGGGTTATGGCCTCGCCAAATGAAACCCAATTGTGAAACGTGACATTAATTTGTCCGTGACTCCCGCTCACCTCTCACACCTCCGCCCCCGCCCACTCCCCGCTCCAACGCAGCTGAGCCACTACCTGGACGTGGTGGAGGTGAACCTGGCGCGGCAGATCTCGCTTCGCTCCGACGCCTTCTTCCAGGCGATGGAGTCCCAGCGCGACGTGCAGGAGCACCTGCGGCGAGCGGCGCTCACGGTGCGCTCGCTGCGCTCCCTCGTGGGGCGCGTGGACACGGTGCTGGCGAGCGGCTCGCTGCGGGTGCTGCGCCTCGCGACTGCGCGACGCAACGCCGCGTCGCTGCACGGCAAGCTGAAGCTGATGGCGGCCGTGCAGCAGACGCAGCCGACCGTGCAGCTGCTGCTGTCCACGGCCGAGTACAGCGGCGCCCTCGACCTCATCGCCACCACGCAGGAGGTGCTGCAGCAGGAGCTGCAGGGGGTGCACAGCTTCCGGTGAGACAGACCCGCGCGTGCGCACGCAGGCAGCGTCCTTACACAGTAACTCCTGTATGAGGACGCTGCCTTACGGACGAGTTGGGTCCCAGAGGTCTGTTCGTAAGTCCAACTTTACTGCTGTCGATTCCAAACATGTTGTACGGCATGCACACTAAACACAGGGGATGGCTTTAAAGGTTGTATAGAGTAATTCTATATGGATGTAGATGCCACTGGTTCTTCATGTTCTGCAGGTGTAGATGCCACTACCGCCATCTATTGCGTGGCGGTTGAACTTATGACTCTTGGTCCGAATAGGCAACTGGACATACGGACAAGTTTGTTCATATATCTCTGAAAGTTCGTAAGTAGAATATTCGTAAGTAGAAGAGTCCCTGTAGCAAAATGGGCTTCTACTCGAGTGATAAACTTTTAAAACATCACAACTTCTGTAAATCCTACTTTATATTATCAACTATGAACTATTTATTATTTCACCAGGTAAGGCACACTGAGCTATATAGCTCTTTTTCAGAAGAGACCTGGCCACAAACGATAGCCCAATACAGTGGCTTATCATGCGAGAATGTTATGGCAGCCATATACTCTTAAACGGATGTTTTTAAATGTAGAGGAAAAAATCGGAGGACCCAGAGAAAAATCCACACGACCACGAAGAGAGAGAGACATGCAAATTTAAAATATACAGCACGTGTCAGGATCGAACCCACAACCTCCTGTATACCCGGCGAGGGAGTTAACATTTCGCCACCTCCGTGTCCCTTGACCTGCCACTTTGGACTTTGTGTGCACCACATTGCGATGCTCAAATATTTATTTTTCATGAATCTGAATTGTGAAAGTTCATAATTTTGCAAAAGGAATCAACGGTCGGGTAAGTATTTATTTAATCAATGATGAATATTCTCCAAATTTTATCCAAATATTGCCATGTCATGAGTGTGTCAGGTAGAGGTGAGCATTGCAACCCTTTCCGTTCAAGAATTGTCCACACACGCACAGCTATCACAGAGCCATTCGGAATGAAGGCCTTCCTGCACAAATACTATTCTCTCTGCAGTGTGCTACGCTCTCTCTGTGTACATTTTTTGAGCGCGATCGGCCATGCAGACCCGAGTGCCGAATGCTACCAATGACGTGCGTACGCAGGCACCTCGGCTCCCAGCTGTGCGAGCTGGAAAAGCTCATCGACAAGATGATGGTGGAGGAGATCTGCAGGTACGCCGAGGTGGACCTCAACAGGACCCTGCAGGAAGGGGAGGCCGTGCTGGAGGAGGTGTGTTTTCCCTTTTCGCCCTGGTGATTGATCATCGCTCTCTTATTGTTCCCATCGGGGGGGGGGGGGGGGGGGGGGGGGTGTGCGTGGCGCGGAGGAGGGGAAGTATCTTGACGTGTCGCACGGATAATTTACTTTTTGGAACTCTCGCTGCTGTTAGTACACAGCCGTGTGTGTCGGTGAAAAGCCTAGAGAGCAGACGTATGTACGTATGTATGTTTAACTTCTTTCGCACCGTACGTAGGCAATGGTCCTTGCTACTGATGTAGTCCTAGCTACTTCAACAACCTGCACTGACCAGCTTGGTGAAGTATGGTCAAAACACGTCCATGACTAACACGATGTAGGGATTGAGCAGTGGATTGGCAAAGGGCTGTAAATTATTACTCTATATTGAAATTATCTCGACTTCAGTAATGAAATTAATTATAGTGCACGTGTGTCTAATTGAACGTTGGCTGATTTTGATGGATTAGGGTGTGAAGTATTATTGTAAAATGTGTGCGTTCCTCTGTGGAGTAAACTGCCAGCTGTTCCAAGGCATGACAATGTTTTTGGAAATGATGATTGATTAGATTGATTATTGCAGTAAATATTAATTACTTATACCGTGGTGAGCAGTGCAGCAAATGACAATGATGGCTGGTGAATAGATGTTGAATTTTCTTATTTACATTTATGATGTTAGCAGTATTGTACATGGATTAATGACGACGGCGATGATGATTGAACGATAATACGACGATGATTTTATCGTGGTGAGCAGAATGGAGAAATATGATGATGATATATGTATGTTGAACATCTTTCGCATGTATGTAGCCAACCGTGCTAATCGGAGGTGCGAGACATATATACTATGTCCTGCAAGGAGCATTCGTTGCATGACAAGTTAACATACATTTTAGATTTTCAGAGGCAATATGCATCATTAAGTGGAAAACTCAAGTTTTTGGCAGTGGCCGTTAAAAGCAGAGAGAGAACATTGGAAATTTAGATCTGTGCTTGTTCACTGTCATTGCAGTTCATATTTTAAATTGGAATATAGAAACTAAACATTTGTATACAAGCACTGTAATTATGTTTCCACTTGCATGAAATGCTATTTTAACGAATGCTATAAAATGTGCATGGAATTATTCCAAATTGGCAACTTTTTTGCACCATAACCCCCGGCACACACACCAGCCTACCCCGTTTTCGAATAAGAAGTCGGCACGCAATTTTGCGATTTAATACGCCTCCAGTATTGAACCAGGGCTGACTGCCCGGGTCTTAACCGTAAAACCTCTGATACGAGCGGCGAATGCGCTGCCGCTCGAGGCACGTGCGCCCGCTCTCTCTCTCGCGCGTGTCCCAAAATGCACGGCGTGTGGTCCTGTGTACAGGAGCGGCTGGTGTCCCTGGTGTTTGGGTTGCTGCGCCAGCGGAGGTTGGACTTCCTGGACATGTACAATGACCGCATCGTCATGGCCGTGAGGAACATCGTCAAGCAGGTGCGTGGCGTGGCGTGGCGTCACGCTATCGTCGGCACGCTGTGATTCACCCCAGCTATTCAATGAACTGTCACGATTCAGGGGCTTTCCCAAGGGATTTTTGATGCTACGTCAGCAGTGTGGCAATACTTTAATATGATTTGTATTTTCTTCCCTGCTGTTTATAAATCCACGCGGTGCTTGTATTTTGTCTAGTTTTTTACCGTAATTGTTTAAAAAAATGTCCTGCGTGTTTTTGTTTAGGGTATTCACAGTTTTGTCCATTACAGTAACATCGCGCAACAGATAATGAATTGAATATCTTGGAAATAATTATAGATGATCGATTCTTGCACAACATTCGATGCGTATATATTGTGGGCATCATAAACCATTTTTAGTCGATGAAACGACGCGGTATTACATCCTGATCGGCGCTGTGTTATATAACATTTACCAAATGCCTCTGCTTAGTTTGGAAAATGGATATATTTCATGCGCCTATTAGGTGGAGTAACATACATATTGTTGTCGTCTACATTTCAAAGGAGAGGCAATATCTTGTTGAAATAAGCAGCGCTTGTAATGATATATGGAACTTAATTTTGCTCGAATATGCGGTTACATTCCACTACTTTTCCACATGGTGGCGACAGCTCTCTGTCTGGCCGCTGAACCAGCTGCTTCACATGAGCAGCGTGAAGGCATGATTAATTTCAGAAAAAAGGTATGTACAAGGTCAAATTGAAAATAACGATCTTTCTTGCCCTGCACAGACTGTGATGGAAGCAGTTTCTCAAGTTGATGAAATTGACACCGAAATCGTAACAAAGTAAGGACATTTCATCTGCGCCTTCTTGGTACTTACATTACGAACTCAATGCCTTATTAAACGCAGTCGTGATTGATGTTTTAATGTTAACCCTGTCGTCTGTTAATCCCATTGTTGTTTGACTTTAGGCTGGCAGATCAAATAAGGTTGATGATCTTTCCTCTTTGGCTCGACCTCCTCCAGAAGGTCTTCTCGAACCTTCTCGTATTTCTACGTCGGGTGAAGGTACGTCTTGCGACATGATTTTAATCGGCGCTTTATCTAATCCCAACCTCTTGGGAGTAAGACCAGCTGTCCATATGTAAGAAGTGTGTTTTTTTCAGAAGTTACTCTGTGTCGCCCCCAGTTAGTGTAATGTAAGAATGTGTTACTTATATTAGAGCTGACTGGAAGAATTTACTCAAGCGATTAGAACCAATATTATTTATTTCAAGGCAACCATGGTGGTGTGATGTTATCTTCCTTGCCTGGTATGCAGGAGGTTGGGGGTTCTATCCCAACCCTGAAGCCTGTATATTTGTATTTTGTGTGTCCCTCTTCCTCGTAGTCATTGTGGATTTTTTCATGGTTTTTCCCTCCACATGTAGAAACATGCATTTAGATTATTTTGCTACTGTAAATCTCGCATGATCATCCACTTTATTGAGCTAATAGCTCAGTGGGCTTTACCTGGTAAGATCAAAATAGTTTCGTTTTTTTTGTATATTGTTTAAAGTGATTTGCTTACCTTTCCTATGCTTTGAACTCCTATCGTGTTTTTGTATTGTCTTGTAACGTTCTGGCCCGACCCTTACTGGACATCAACGAAAAAGAGCTTTATAGCTCATCTGGATTCCTCCAGTATAAATAAACATTCTGATTCTGATTGATTACGCGAACGTGCCTTCTCGATGGAAATAAAATGTTCGTTTTGGCGCGCGGGCGCGTGCTGTCGCGCCCGCAGGCCACGCTGAACGTGATGCGGGACGTGGTGCACATGGCGCTGGAGCGCGCTTACGAGAGGGCCCGCGAGCTGGAAGAGAGGACGCGGCCTCCTTCCCACGGTCCATCGCAGCGCAGCCACAACTCCGCCGAACGCTCGGACCTCCCCGTGCTGGAATGCAGGCCGGGCGGCGAGCTCCCCCATGTCGGCCAGCAGGAGGTTCGGACACGTTAAAATAAAAAAAAAATGCATAAATATTTTGTCTCCCTGCTCCCTCCTGGCCTTGCCCCCCCCCCCCACCCCACTGCTGCCTTCACTCGGCCTAAAATTAGTGCCTAACGTTGCATGTCATCTGCAGCAGTGGGGGGTGGTCAAGGCTGGCAAGGTTTGCTGCCAGCTTCACTGCTTGCCCCTCTCGCATGCAAGGGGAGGACCATAATAATAATAATAAGGGCGAGTGCTCTCAATGCCAATCTGGCTTTGTCTCGGTCGTGCGTCAGGACGCTGCTGGCGGAGGTGACACGCCGTCGAGTGGCTCTGCGTCCGACACCGACCAGACGACGGACTCCTCGGCCAGCTGTGACCAGGCCTTGGCTTCCTCGAAGGCTCACGAGGGCCTTCAGCTGCAGCTGTAAGCTTCGGACACAGCTGCACGCTTCGCGACCGCCCCTAATGCGCTCGTGCCAATGTTGTGATTGTTCGGCTCTCTGCGTGTGAGAGTGTCTGGATACGTGTCGTATGTTTTCTACCCCCTGTATGAGTTTTACGCTTTTTTTTTAAAGACTTAACGTGTGCATTTTAATCAACTCATCACCTAACGCGTGCATCTAAATAGTATGTGGGCTCAGTGTGGGTGGTCGCTCAATATTCTCTGCTGCCCCAAATTTGGGTGCTCCATTTCCTTTTTACCTCTGCCTGTGTCCGAATGCCTCTGTTAAAAAAATTATACGACCACTGTTTTCCTTCGCTGCATATTGCCGGCTGTTACATGAATCGGAAAACAGTGGACAACTGACAAAGAAAATGCAGTTCAAGCTAAAAATTTTGTCCAGACAATCACGTAGAGACGCGCGCTTGGATATAAAGACCAAGAAAAAGAGAGAGGAACGCGTTTCGCGTTCTGACGGCGCACGTTCCACCTTGTGCGAAAAGTGCTCCCGAGTGGAAGAACCACGTTATAGCGAATAAACGCGTTGCAGTGTGAACACCACGCGTTAAGCCAGGTCTCGGCGTACCTTTATACCGCCAAGTCTGCGCTCTTTCCCTTCACCAACCATTGCCCCGTGTGCCGCACGGCCTGGGGTTGTCCTCAACTGGCAGTGTATTGACACACGGGCTGTAACGTATGTGTACGACGTGTCGACTGGAGACGCGCGTGGTAATGTGCTGTTTTCACGGTGTACGTTCGTGCTTGGCGCTCGACTCTCGTGCATTTGCTCCCAGGTTGGGGGAGGAGCTGCGACTCAGCGTGCTAGAGCTGGAGCGAGTGTCCAGCAGCGTCCAGGAGTTGCTGCACAGCACCTCAGACTGCTGCCACGACCGCTGCGTCAAGTTCATCATGGCCAGGGCACGCGTAAGTGGAGCTTCATTTTGCGAGAATAAATGGCGAAAAAAACGCGTTCAGCCGTTTTTTTTCCTGCACATATAGACGAGTCTTGTAACAATGATGTATTTTTACGATTTTCAGAATCTTTATTTAGACTGGGGGGAGGAATCCAATGAGCTATGAAGCTCTTTTTCACAGATGTCCAGAATTGGTGGGTCAGCAGGTTACAACAACAAACAATAAAAAAAACGATAGTGCAAAATAGAGACAATGGTAAGCAAGTAACAATAAATAAATACGTGTTTTATTTAAGTCCGAATTATCATGCCAGGCAAGCAAAAACAACAGAACAGTCCCAGACCACACCAAGATAACACCACACAGCAGTAGTCCCTCACTAAAATGTCACATTAACATTGAACTATCGATACACAGGTAGTGATCAAAGTCACAAATCACATTTGGAAACGCGACTGCTGCATCCAGCACTAACCGGGCGTCGATGGGAGCTGCTGCAGTGTGTAACGGTTAGCACAGCGGACTTGCAGAATCAGGGGCCGCTGGTTCAATTCAATCTCCTGGAGCAGCAGTTGAAGCAATGGGCCTAGTTGTTAAATTCCACCCCCCCTCCCTGTCCGACCAGCAGTATAGATGGCTACACCATGGTTAGTTAATCGGCAGATCGCCTGCATCTCGCCTCTCCACGACACCATTGCACGCCACGTAATTTTATTGTCCAGCTTTAAACCGTGCACCGTCGCGAATCAAATCCTTTTGACGGCAAATAGCGCGTTGGAAAATCCACGAGTTACGCTTCGATTATTCCTCCTCGATTTTAATGCCGTGGTTTGTGGTGGTGGTGGTTGTCAGCAGGACGGATCGCTCGAGAGGCTGAGCCCCGCGGAGTTCGTGGCCCTCTCGCAGGCCGTGGAGGGGTTCGTGGCCGCATCGGAGGAGATCTCGGGCCGCAAGAGCACCTCACTGCGGGGGGCGCTGCAGAGCCAGGCGAGCCGCTTCGTGCAGCGATTCCACGAGGAGCGGAGAACAAAATTGAGGTGCGCGCACACCTTGAGCGTGGCTGGTTCACTGTCGCCACCACCGCCACCACCACCACCACCACAACGACCACTGATTTGACCAGCACCACCAGGAACGATATCACCAGTACCAGCAACTCGAGTATCAGCGACATTACCATCATCGCCTTGATCATCACGCGCGCTACCAGCACCATCATATCCTACAGCATCTATCTACTCCAAACAATTTTTTTGGAGCCTCAAAGATGTGAAATGTCTCATCCACCAACCAGGCCTCAGGCATGAACTATCATGCCCATCAACAACAACAACAACGAAAAAAAGTTTTGTTTGTAAAATAAACATTTCTAAGGTGGTGCGTCGATGTCCATCTGTGAGTGATTTTAATCCGCCTGCCATTGTCGCACGGAGCAGCCTGCTGCTCGATAACGAGCGATGGAAGCAGGCGGACGTCCCCGCGGAGTTTCAGCAGCTCGTTGACTCGATGGCCGGAGGAGTGATCGCGCTGTCGGAGAAAAAGCCCGCAGGTACCCAAGGCCGGTCTTTGACATGGCCCAAAACCTTCACTGGTCACCAGGGTATTCCAGACTTAGAAAATATGTATTAATTTTAAGGCAGAAGTGTTATTGACGGCTGGTGATTTTTGTTGTTATGTTTGTGTACCACTGCCAACGCAACATCAGCGTATAATTTATATGGAACGCATTTTTCTTCACGTGACAGCATCACAAGACAAGAAGCTGGCTGACTACCTCTTTGTGGACGGGCAGAAGTACACGGTGGTGAGGTGAGTGCTTCTGCGTGGCTGGATTCTGTAGTTTAACAAATAATAATAGGAGCCCACTCTCGACGCTTGCATGCCCTTCTGCTGTGGGAGTTATTCCATCTAACGTTTTTATTATTGCCATGTCGTCAGTCACCACTGTCGTATTAATAATTAACTAATCATTTTGTACATTTGCTATTCATGCCGTTCTTATAGCGCAAGGCCATCACTAAGGCAATACGTGTGGCACAGACGTAGTCTGCAGTTGTTTAACAGCAAGGGTGGTGATGCTGCTGTGAGTAATCACAATTGACTACTGTGCAGGTGATTTTTCAAATTTGGAAAATTTGGACCCTCATGCCAGCAATAAATGCCGCCTCATGTCAGATGAATTCAGGAGATCTTTAACGTTTTCAAAGCAAAACAGACAGTGCGTTGTTCACAGTTAATGCACCCCCAGTAATAACCAGCGTCGTCTGCTGGACGCAAACTGCGAACATCCAAAACGAGCTGCGAACGCGCTAGCGCTGGCCCACGTCACTGCGCCATAAGTCTTTATGCAATCCGTCACTAAGGCCCAATGCCCCTGGATTGTGGTGTTTGCGCAGGATATTGTCTCTGTGTGCGCATGCACGCATAACGCGGTCGCGCGTGTGTTGCGATTGCGTGGATGCAGCACCGTGCTGCTGTTGATCCGCATGGTGCTGGAGTACTGCCAGTGTGTGGAGGATATCCCGTCCGTCACCACGGACATGCTGCCCAGGCTCACAGACCTCCTGAAGGTGTGAGGCAGTTGCGTCGGGCACTGTTGACGACGCTCCGTTGTAATTTTTTGCTCTTTTTTTTTTGTCACCCGCCGCCACGCAGCATCTCGGGATCTCATCGCATTAGTTTAGTCATTCGTTTATTTAATTTAATCGGGTGTGAGAGCCCAGGACAGTGCAAATTCATCTAATATTTGACGTTAGTTTGTAGCCATAATAATCATCATCATCGCCGTTGGCAAACACTCCTGATGGGTGTCGTCAAATAAACTGTTGCAAAAGACAACCGGAAGCCATCTCTGGTATCCTCGCCTTTTCATGGCCTCAAGAACTCTGGTATGCAGTGGGAGTTGTGAGATGTAAAAGGATGCTGTGGGATGGGATGGAGAGTGCTGAGTCGGGCGATCTGCCTTCGGGCAACTCGGGACAGAAAACTCAAAGGAAAATCGTGGTGTAGGATGACATATCTGTGTGTGTTTCTGAAAGCCCTGATGACCAATGTCTATTGCTTATTCCCTTTGTCGGCATATGAAGCACTTCAACTCTCGCAGCTGTCAGCTCGTGCTGGGTGCTGGGGCCTTGCAGGTGGTCGGCTTGAAGACCATCACCACCAAAAACCTCGGTGAGAGTTCCCAGTTCGCGGCTCCGAGTTGTGCTCAGTACGGCACTGAATTTGAGTAAATGCTGAAGGTAATACTGATAATTGCTGTGAAATCCTTTGGATTGATTAATGTTTGTAAAAGGGTTGTTGGATAGTTGTTATTGTGCAATTTTGTAGTATATTGTATGTGGGACTGCTAAAGTGTGCCACCTGTTTACGGACCATGGAGTCGTGAATAGAATGATATTCATTTGAACGGAGATCCAGAATTTCATAGAATCCCACATTTCCATTGCATTTTCTGGACCACCATGCAAATGAATGGGAATGTAGCAGCGATTCCGAAGATGGCTCTTAGATGGCAGGCTATGCCTGCTAGAACCACATTGGAGCAAATGTAGGTTAAACATGGGCACCGCAGTAATGATCGTGATTCCTGTAAGATTGCCCATGGATGAAGGTTCAAGTACGATTCCTATTCCCCCTCTTCTCCTTTTTCTCCCTTCCCTCCTCCCCCCTATCCTTGGTCTTCCCTTAGTATCGATAATTTGAGATTTTTCGGGTGATATCGCGTAAATATAAATGTGTCATTAAAACCCCCCGCCACCCGACACAGCCAAATTAGTAAGGGTTGTCACGTAAACAAAACGTGCCAATGCATCGCTAATTCACCACACCGGTGTGTTGGAGAGTAAGCCCAGAACACAAAACATTTACTTGCGAAAGCCTACGTGTTAAACATTCCCTTGGTATGTTGGCTATTTCTCCCTCCCCCTCTTCCCCCCATATAGATTTCCACCCCCCCCCTCTACATGGGGTCCCTACTTGGTTGGTGCAGTGGACCCAGTCAGGGCCCTCTCCCCCCCCCCACCCCCACCTATGATCCTCGTCGTGCCAAATTAGAATTTTCGCGGATTTTCCGTTCTCCCCTTCCTTATGGTCACCGGCGCGTTGTGCCGCGCGAGCGTTTTGTTGCAGTAACATAAATAAAAAAAGTACGATTCCTCTAGGGGGATCGCCCATCACTAGCTGCTGTGCTCCTCACCGCCTGCGTCTTCTCTTGCCTTGTGCCCAGCGCTGGCATCGCGCTGCCTGCAGCTGATCCTGCAGTACATCCCGCTCATCCGCGCACACTTCGAGGCCCGCCTCCAGCCCAAGCAGTACAACATGCTGCGCCACTTTGACCACATGACCAAGGTAAGTGAGGGGGGTGGGGGGCGATGTTTTGAGCACTGAGACCCAAGTCACGATATGCACATCTTCCGTCAATAGGTTGCGCGCGTCGCCGGAAATTTGACAGCACACGCAAAAATTGCGGTCGCTGCGTTGTCGCCTTTCGCTTGACGTCACTACGTCCAGCAAGATGTCCGCTGCCCATAAACTACCGTTTGACAACTTGGCAGTTGATGTATGTTTAATTTCTTTTGCACCGTACGTAACCAACCGTAAACATCTGGAGGTGTTTCACGTAGGGTTACTTTGCGTTTTTAGAACCTGAATGTGCTCTCGATACTACTTCGTTGCCTCCTTGCCCAGATACAACTCTCATTGTGTGCTTTAGCTATGCCTGGATTTTTTATAATTTCAACTTCATTTTGGTCTCATTTACAAACCTTCAAACTCTTCGATTTAAAGCTTTCATGACTGCAATGATTCATCTTCTTTGGTTCTTTCGGTAAAGTCACGTAGAATGAGAATAAAATAATAAATTGATAAAATAAAATAACACAATAATATTATTATTGTGTTATTTTATTTTATCAATTTATTATAATATTATTATTGTGTTATTTTTTTATCAATTTATTTTATTCTCATTCTACGTGACTTTACCGAAAGAACCAAAGAAGACTTCAAACTCTTGTTGAGACAGCCCAGGAGACACAAGGTACTATCTATTTGTTATTTGGGTTGTGCAGTCCTTGAGGACGACTTTTGTGTGCTAGATGCAAGCACAATGCCACACACCACTGACTACGCACTCTTTATTCCCATGTGCCATTGCTTTTGCCACAGGATTACAGTGACCACATAGGGGAGATTTCCGCCAAGTTGGTCGCGATAATGGACAGCATGTGCGAGAAGCTGCTATTCAGAGTGAGTTTTGTTTTAATTCACAGACATGCATCCGTCAAACTCAGTAAATCAATTTTCTTTTCTTCTTTGTCCAAAGAGTCATCTTCCAACTGCACTCGAATAAGCCAATATGTTAACAGCGCCACGTGGATGCCAATACATTGCAGGTTCTGTTGAGCAGCAGATGAAAGTGTGCTGAATTCCAACGTGGCCCGTTTTTTAATGAAAATATATGTTCAAGTAGATATTATCAACTCGGTTGCCTTTACAGAATGAGCTTCAGTTCTTCCCGTGCTGTGGAGTACATCGAATGACAGTGTTTCCACATTTTCCAGTCTTCAATCAGCTGAGCCGCCTTGTCCAATGTTATTAAAAATGACCTTTCAATAGTTAATTATCGTCTCTCCAGTTGTTGGCCTTCCTCTTTTTTAAAATATGTTTTTTTTCTTTTCTTTACGATGAACCTGGGCACTGTTATTGTTCGAACAAACATGTGAAAGGATCCATTGCAGGGTGCTGACGTAGCCACCAGTTTAGCCACGCAACTCGCGCTTGTACAATGAACGGTTTCCGCTCTGCCCAGAGTAGCGGATTAAACGTTAAGCACCCTTGGCTCGAAACACAATAATTCACCTGGCGAAGGAGTATCGCATAAGTGAATTATTTACTTGCTATCTAGGCGACCCGCGCGGCTTTTTGACGAGCGTTGGGAACCGCACGGCGCGTCACGCGTCACTGATCGGGCCCCACCGTGTCCCGTCGGTTTTTCCCCCCCCGCTTGCGCGCGTGCGCAGTACGAGGTGAAGGCGCCCGTGCCGTCGGCATGCTTCCGCAACGTGAGCAAGCAGATGGCCAAGATGCACGAGGCCGTGTGTGAGCTGCTGCCAAACGAGCAGGTGCAGGTGAGTCGTGGGCACCGCTGTTGCCGTCAGTGTCTCTGCGCGGGTCGCCAAAAAAGTGTCCGCGGGTGGCTTGTTAAGATTTTCCCAGTGGCACTATCTTTGAATATAATTTGGGAGGAAAAGGTCCCATCGATTGTTTGGAACATGTATGTTTGTATATTGAACCTCTTTTGCACCATACGTAGGCAACTTCGGAGGTGCGGGGTAAGGGCAACAGACCAAACACAAAAAGCAGCTCAAAAGAAATGAGTTTACAATCTCGATTTAAAAAACATAAGCACCGCGCGCGTTGTGCGTTGTCTCCGAGCTGATTATTTATCGCACGCATAGCTGTCCAGCTCCCGTACAGTTTGAACGGCCCTCCTGTTTTCTCTCGGCCCCTGTCCTGTTCCCGACCGCAACCAGTTGCTCTTCCTGCGGATCAACGCCTGCTTCAAACAGCACCTCAAGGGGCAGCTGTCCCGTCTCGGCGTCGTGAGCGACGGGGGACCGCAGCACGGGTGGGTTCCCGCGCGTGCGCAGAATCGAAATCGACAGTCGACGAGTCGATGATTGTATGGCGAAGCTCCGTTGGCAGCCGGTGCACAAAGCACAATTGACAAACGCTCGACACGCTCGTCAACAACACTGCCTTTAAACGGAAAGGAAACGTTGCAGGCAATGTCGCCCATCTTCATAGCACTTATATAACCATGTGTGCTAGATAATCGAATTTGCTGTGAAGAATGGCCTGCACTGTCACCATCACCGATTATGTATTTTTGCCTTTGAAGGCAATGTTGTTGAATTCAATCCTCCATTCAGGAATTCTGGCATCGATTGATCTCTTGTCAAGATTGGCAACACTGCAACGCTCACTGTTATGGGCATGTTTATTTTGTAGAGAGAGGCAGTAATCCATGGGCAGAGGGAAAATAAGGAAGGTCTTGACCTTTGATTTGAACAGGGTTAGGGAGTCGACAGCACGGATGGCCGGGGGAAGTGAGTTCCAGACTGTGAGAACAGCAGAGGAGAATGAGTGGCCACCGACTGAGCGAAGGACGACTGGAGGCTTTGACAGAAAGCTTTGATTGCTCAATCCGAGAGTGGTTGGAGAGCGTTGAGTGAGACACGAGGGGGAGTGGTAGGATGGAGAAGAGTCCAAGTATTAAGATGATCTGTTTCCCCTTGTGCTCAATCCACCCTGTGATGCCTATGCAGGTATATGTATCATTTCAGAATGTCTTGTTATGAGAGGGTAACATACTTGATGGTTAACATCTCGCCTTTCGCCATGGTCATGTGGATTTTTATCCTGGTCTTCCAGTTTTTCCCTCCAAATTTAGAAACATGCGTTTAGAGTATTTGGCTGCTATAAATGTCCACGTGTTAAGCCACTTTGTTGAGCTGTCATTTGTGGCCAGGTCGCCTCTGAACAAGAGCTATATGGCTCAGTGGGCCTTGCCTGGTAAAATTAAAAGTTTAAAAGTTTTATATTCATCTGTGTGAACAGCATTATTCTTTCTGATGGAATTACACCAAGAGTAGAGAAAGAGAAACATGTGGAGTAGAGATATGCGTACGTTCGAGACACGACATTGACTGTTGAGAAAAGTAAGTGGGCTTGGGCTGGACGGGTCGCTGGAGGGGATGATGGCCGAGACGAACAACGGAGTGGTAGCCAAAGGAGGGAAACGCGGCCCAGAGTAAGACCACCGTTGGGATTGAGCGATGAAAGTGGGCACCAGATATTCTCACATCACAGAACCGTGAGAGACGCCGACGGTTCGGGGTGAGGCCTTCGTCATGCAGTGGATACGAATGTTGAATTTCTTTTGTGCCGTACGTAAGCCAACCGTGCTAAGCGGAGGTGCGATAGATCACAGCTGACGACGACGACGATGATGATGATGACGATGATGAAGAGCTATAACGCATTGTGCTTCGTGCCAGGCTGGTGACATCCGACCTGGCGTTCTACGTGGGGAATCTGCGTGGGCTGAAAGGCCTGGAGCAGCTGGACCTCAATCTGACTGAGATCTGGGAGCAGAAGAGGTGATATCTACTACCCCTCCCCCAAGAGGAGAATGCTCCTGTCCCCCACCGCAGCCTCCGCCACCGCCACCCCGCTCCTCCCGCCCCAACCACGTGCGGAGCCGGCGTTTTGCCAAAATATCCACCATCGGTGGCCGCGCGTTACCGTGACCGCTCATCCATCGGCGACAACTCGGCAACGGGCAACTGAGAACTCCCCCCTCCCCCCCCACCCACCCCCAACGGCTGTTGCAGAAGTGGGGTGCCACGGAGCGAACAATGGTGACCGTCGGAAGACTTCAACTCGACGACGATTGTGACTCCTGTTGAGGCTGAAGGTGAATTGCGAAGGCATTGAGGAAAGCCGTCGCCTTGGGGGGGGGGGGGGGGGGCGCACTTTGCCTCGTCGACACAAACCGTGTAAGAGCTACGCTCAGAATGCTGTAAGGGGGAATACTGTTGTCTTATTTCTCTTGATTCGTTTTTTTTTTAATACATATATGTAAAAATGTGCAATTTGAACCCCCCCTCCCCCCCCGCCCCGTGACAGACTGGGAATAAAAAAAATAAGGGAGTGAATGGAACGGGGGTACAAAGTTTGGTGCAATTAACGGTCGGCCGACCTGTGCCGAGCTCCACAGGGGTGCCGTCTCTCTGCAGGGCACGATGCGATCGTGCTGTTGCCTCCAAGTGGCGAGTCTTGTTTTAGATACTCGTGGCTTGCAATCGCCAAATTTGCAAACCTGCCCCGATGATTTGGGTCCCTCAATACGGTAGCCGCGTACCGACTGACCACCACGGCATTTCGATGAATTACAGTTTGCACGGTTGTACACGTAACATTTACAGCCCCTTGTGTGAATCTGCGGCCTCCCCCCGCCGTGCGGGTTGTGTGGGTTTCTTGACCATACTGCACCGTGCCGGTCAGTACGAGTTTGGCCTTAGGCAGGGGAACAGACACGCGGGCGTAGAAGTGCTATGAAGTACAACGAACGTCGCTGCACTGCCCTTTGCTGACCATCGCATAGCCCTTGAGCCGCCTACGAAAACCTGGCACGCATGGTGGTCACCCATACAAGCGGTATCCAGGCTCAAGTCTGCTTAGCATCTTTAGTTGTGGCAAGATCGAGTGCATTCCGGGTGATTTGGTCATACTATTCCTTCGGTCACATTCTGCTCGCGGAAATTTACTAAGCACGTCATTTGCACCAGCTTTAAACGATCGATTCCGAAGGCGCAGAATCCGATGGGTTCGTCTCGAGGGAGCGTAAGAATAGCGTTTCAAATCGACGTACTGATAACTAGTTTCACGCCTACCACGTTGGCTCGGCGTGGATGGACGTGCTCACTGGGATCTCCATTTCAAGGGGGGGGGCCAGGACTTATCGCTAGCTTTGAGAGTAACGCGGGAAGGGCGGGCGTTTTGTACGGAGGGGGCCCCCATGACAGCTCGCAACTCTCGGCTGCCGTTGTTTACATAGCATGGATGTGCACGCGGCGTGGCGTGGTCGTGGCATTGGGGGAGGGTGGGGGGCGCTATTTTTCCGGTGTTTCACTTAAAGGGTATGTGGCTGTTATAATTTCCCACGTGTTAATCCACTGCATTGAGAGCTACCATTTGTGGCCGGGCCGCTTCCTTAAAAAAAGAGCCGTTTCGCTCCGAGGGCCTTACCTGGTAGAATAACAAAAGTTGTTTAATAGTTTTAGTTTCAACTTGGCCCTGGCGTGGCCGTGTAATACCGCGGGGTTTTGCAGTGGTGGAAAACGTGACATCGCGCACGTCACACACCACTGCCTCCCCCCCACCCCCCTCCTGGTGGTTTCTCAGGCTACCGTTTGTCTTTAAGAATGTGTGCCGAGGGGATCAGTGCGATTAGACCAGGGTCTATTATGTGTACATAAATGTATAGGTATAAAATATATCTGAATAAATAAACCGAGTCGAGCCACTGTCTAGTACTACCTGAATTAACGCGTGTCTTGGTACCTGCTCCTCAGCAGGTTGTAAATTATAATGGTAAATTAACTGCAGTGACAATGCAAATTTACTTACAAATTACATGTAAATTACGCAAGATGCTGTGGTATTAACGATATAGGCATTACAAGGCATGACTTTGACAAACTCTTTTTTTTAAATCATACTTTCCATGGCGACACACTTATGTATAGTTTTGCATAACGAGTTACGTACTTCCGTCCAAGTTCAGCGTTCGTAAATATGTTGTCCAAGAGCTGGACGCAGACGGCAGGCCTGTACTGGGTTGCGTTTAAAATTTGTTTTATTTGATAGGCCTTGGGATTTTCGTATTCTTACCTGGAAGATGTAAAGTTTTCATTGTTTTTCTCTAACGTAAATGGTTGTATGGTGTATGCACTTTAGTGGAGGGGTGTCACTTCGGACAGTCACCTTGACAATAAAGAGTCGGCGGTCGAATTATCCACGTGTGTGTGGATCACGGTGGCAATGCGCAGGCTGTAAAGCCGTGTGTAGGTGGCGGTAGTACACGCGGACGGTTGCCTGCCTGCACGATCTGTGGCATTTGCGTGTTCTATTTCTGCTGCCTGCGTGTGGGTTTGCTCCGAGATACTCTGGTTTCCTCTCGCATGCACATCCACTCGACAGAAGGGATTGGCGGGAAATGTTCCATTGCAGGACTCCCTTGATGGGAAAAAAAAACCAGACATTTATTTTTGTTTAGAAGGTCGTTGAGGTTCTTCCCGGCGCAAACAAATACAATTTCTGAACCCCCCCCCCCCCATGCAAAAATTATACGTGCCTCGTGTGAAATATTTGTACAAAATTGTCGTGGGTGCCAACACGTGACTTGCAACGTGCCATCTGGTTTCTCACGCTTTGGTTTCTGTTGTGGTGGCGGTGTTGATGAAGCTGTACGACCAAGGAAGTTGAGACTGCTCGCGAAGCAGAATATACGCTCATCGCGTCTACCAAACGTTTTGTATCACAAAGGCACAGTGCTTTGAGCGTTGCTTGTATCAGCATTGAGGCTTTCAGCATTGAGTGCATGTCTCCTGGTTTACAACCTTGCAGAGGCGGTGGTGTAAAATCCACATTCCTACAGTGACGTGAGCGAGTCTCCTATAGGACAACCACCTTTGACTTCCACCGCACAGTGGTACTAGTTTTATGGACCCTGTTGAGATGATGGGCTGAGAGTGTCACGAAGCAATGTGTGTTAACTGATGCATTGTGGGAAGATTATCATTGTACACGCATCAATTTTGAGTAATTTAATTTATCGTTTATCGCCGTGTGCAAAATGCATTTTTATCAGATCTATTGGCACCCAGCAAATAAGTTAACGTTTGTAATATTTTAAATACGTCCACTATAAATTTGTCAGTGGATAATTGTACTTAAGAGTCATATGTTTGATTTTAGTTGTATTTCTAAGAAATTAAACTATAGCATTCTTAATTGTCTAGGGTGACCACAATGACTTTTACCTGGCCAGATGTCTTTTTAAACTACACGCCTCATGCTCGGAGAGTAATTTCCCGAATCATGAAGGCATTAAAGAGCATTCTTTCGTCATCCTTAGCACAGCGTTGATAGCCTCATTCTGTCTCATTCTAATGATCTGTTTAAGCTGTCTGCAACATTCACAAAAGAGAATACCTCTGTCGATTTGGCAAGTCCGAGTTGCCATGCTTGATGTTTCCATGCTTGAACCTTCCATGGTGTCTTTCACTTGATCTAAACAAAACCAAACACTGTTTTACATCTGTCAGTTTACGGCTGCGCGATGTAAAAAGCTTTGGAAGAGAGGAAGGAAAAAAAAACTATATTGTTTCGATCCAAATTTTATTTTATTTAAAGGTGCGAGCTTTTTCCCTTTATTTTTTGCTATAGCTACGGCGCTGTGTGCGCTTAATAACTCGAGCCGGCGAGGGCAGCTTAAGGCTTCATCAACAAAACGCAGGTGATCGTCGCATGTTTGGGTTACCATGCTTTCCATACCGGAGAGGCCTTCTTGATGACATCAGCTGCCAGGTTCTCGGCGAACGACCGCGTGTTTAGACTGCCATCATCTCATCAACGTGCCCATGAAGATCTGTTTCCGGAGTTATTTAAGTTCTCCACTTGGCATCTCAGGATGCCACTGTGGAGTGGATAGCTCAATTAGACGTTCCATTATAAGTGCCACCCCCCCCCCCCCCTCCATACGAAATAACGTGATCGCAACCAATTAACTAGCGCGTAATAGCTCGTTACATAAAGTGGTGCAAGTGCCTGAGATGGGGACTGATGGAACGCATTGTGGCGTTGTCGGCATATCGGTGGGAAAAACCATGGGCGTGCGCTTCATGCTTGGATTCTGGCGAAGCAATGGCTGTGTTTTAAGCGACAATTTGGACTTTTGTTTTCAGCAGCGAGGCTGTCACTTGTGCTGTTGAGAACTTAATCCAGTGGGAGATAATACTACTGATAAAAACACGTGGCATTAAGGTTTTCTCCACGATCTCAAAGAAGGTCACTTAATCGTGGTCAAAACCCAAAGCCGTGGAGTATTCTCAGTTCTGTATTAGTTAGACGTTGTGGTACTAAGTTGGTAGTGGCGCACAGGTGGAAATAGTAAAAACACGATCGACAATAATAATGCCCTCAACGGGAAAAAAACTACAATAGGCGACGTTTTGGGCAATGACCCTTCTCCATCTGCTCTACAGAAATACCGTTTCCCACTGTGTCACCTCTCGTATAATGTTACCTCTCTCGGGCAGTGGATATCGACGAACGTTTTAAGTAGCGTCATTTTTAACTGTGAAAACCCACACGTTTGTCACTGTTAATTGAAAAGCAAGTTGGGAGGCCGGGCGGGTGCCCGGAGGGAGGGGGTTGGAGTATGGAGGGGGGGGGGGCATGGTTGTTTGCCGCACTGAAAGCCACCCTTGAAGCTCTTGCGTTGATTCTGAACGGCGTCGCTGGGCACGATGGCTGGCCGACCTTGTCGCGAGAACGTGAGCCGCGCGCGCCCTGTGAGTGGCAGGTTGTGTAAATAATGTAACGGGCCCTCGCGACGTCACGCTCGGCGCGCGCGTGAGCACGCACGTCGGGTGAATTGGAGGCGCAGCGTCTACACTAACGCACTTGTGCACGTACACAAGAAGACGCTTTGTATAGCCCCCCCACTCCACTCCAACCACCCCCCCCCTCCCTCCCGCATCGTTAGTAACGTTGATCCCCATCGGCTTTAATCGCATTTGAGCGCGTGCTTCGGAACAACGGCACGCGCGACACGGGTCAATCCGGGTAAAATAATCGCGTGCGGTAGAATTAACCCGTCGCACGGATGGGCGAATGGTTCCCCGCGGCTCTTGTGAGCGGTCTCGGGCTGTATGCAGGTGCCCCGCGAGAAGTGGGGGGGGGGGGGGGCTTAGATGTGAGGTGGAGGAGAGAAGTCTTAATTTACTCCGCCGGACGCAAGCAGGCATTTTGAAGGACGGGCGATCTTGATGTCACAACTGCCGCGCAAAAAATGCACACGCGGAGTCTTAGGACAGAGGGCTTTGTGAGTTTGGTTGATGTACGTGTGTAGGTGCGTTGCCGCTTTCTGCTACTGTCGGTGTGACGACCGTCAGTGCATTGTAGGTTCACGACCACATTTTTTGGGGGAGATCGTATCACGTCAAACACTTACGCTCGGTGAACTTACCGCGCTTAGGTTCGCAATGATGAGCGTGTGTGATTCGACGTGTAATGTCGCGGTCGCTGGAGTGGTTTTGACATTGATCTGAACCAGGTTAACGTAAACGATTCAAATCTTAGATGAACAAAAACTTTTTCACTTCACATTTTGCCGCGCTGGTATTTTTTTCTTCCACGTGGGCAGGTTAAATGATTTCCGCCTCTGGTTTAATGTTTTACTCCTAAGGTGACGCGTGGCCCTCTATCTTAATACGCTTCACTGCTTCAGAAAGCGTAATTGGCGGTGTGTGTGTGTGTAATTAAGTGTAATTAAAATATTTTGCAACAAGATGCAATCGCTGTAGTTTTTTTGTGTTTTTCTTCTCCAGCTGAACGCAAGCTCCGGCATTGGACAGTAATGGGCACGCCTGGTGTGTTATTTCACCATGAATGGGAAGTGGAAACACGCAAATTAAAGTTCCGTCACGAACCTTAATCCTCACACCCGTGCTGCTGCCTGAACCGTGTATAGTAAGTCCAATTGAGACCCAAGTACTATTTCGCTTACGACGATTCACGCGGAGGGTTCCCTGCCGTGTACTCCAGAGTTTGTCCGCATGATAAACGAAAGACGGTCACCGCGTCGTGCACTTTCAGGTGCGCTTCTGCGGACGTCTGGAAACGCTCCTCTCGATATTAGGAAGCCACCGGGGCTATGCACTTTTAATTCTCGATTGAAATCTCATCTCGTTCGAGCTGCATTTTGTGTTTAGTTTTTTTTGTATTTCCCCCCCCCCCCTGTACCTCCGATTAGCGCTGTTGTCTGCGTACGGTACGAAATAAGTTCAAAATACTACGTGTGAATACGAGACGGACAGCGAACCGACAGGCTGAGATCCTGGGCAAGGGAGAGGGAAGGGCTCGTGAAGAGGAGATGTGAGTGATGTAATCAAAGACGCTTGTGGCAGTTTGACGGACACCGACTGCACACTCGATTGTGGGCTGTGGCACAGGAAAAGGCATTTGAAACTTCGAGGGGGGTTTCATAATGGTGTGCGGAAGTTTATGCACGCATGCTCGCATACAAAAAAAATGAAAATGATATCCCATCCATTTTTGAAGAATGCGTCATTGGGTTTATATTTTAGGATTTTTTTTATTGACGTGACTTTTTCCGTTTTTTTTTCATTAGAACAGGTTTTTATTTGAATAACAATATAACTTAATTAAAATATATGACATGCTTTGCTATTTTTTTGTCCAGCACTTTTGTTGCGCACAAATAGGCCACGTCATCTCTAAGTATTTGTACATTTACGTCGAGGTCACCGCATTTGGTTAGCCTGCAGCGTGAACTTCAGGAAAAAAAATATATCCAGAGCACAACTCTTAAAAAAAAACCCTTTTTCTTGGCCAATTTCTTGCCTGGAGGAGGGAGGAGAAGTATGATACGCGCTAGACTAGAGACGGAGTGACGGAAATCTGCCACGCTTTTGGCACATCCGCTGGTTGACGGCTCACGACCTTCCAACGGAGCGTGCAGAATTAGTTTTCCAAGCGGTGACGCAATCGTGGAAAATTTAAAAGCCAAGCGTGGCCATGGACCACGCTTGGCTTTAAAGGCCCTCATGAAAAATGCATGGGCCAACGGTTAAAAGTTTAACGTGCCTCGCAATCGATACATCTCCACCCTTCTCCCCACCCACGATGTGCCCGAGACACTCCTCTTGGGACTAAACCTCAAGACGACCTCCGTAGGCTGAGGACGACTGTCAAAAGCGGCGTTCTTCATTGCAAGGCCCCCGCATGCCACTGGCGGCCCCTGGTGGCCTTTAGTGCGGCCTCTGACGTGCGGGCCCCGACAAAACACAAATGGTGAAAACACCCCCCATCATCATCGTGGTTCTGCTGTCAGACCCCCAATGGTGTCAAATGTGTGGCGGCCCCTCAAACTGATGATGTCTTATCGGGGAAAGTGCCCCCCCCCGCCCCTCTGAAAATTCGTGAAGAACACTGGTCTAAAGTCTTTCGAACGTGTCCGCTAGAGCTGGGCTCTATCCCATTATTAATCTGTTAAAGTAATTGCTCTTTATTTGAATTGATTGCTACAACGGTTATCGGTTTGATTACTCCACTCATTGAACAACACAAAAACACCTGACCAAAGGTTTCACTCCACGCTTTATCCACGTCACGGTTGCCACCTCTCCAGGTTGTCTCAGGATCGTCGTGGTTGTCAGTTCCATGTTTTTTTCGTACCGCTGACGTGGCGACCCAATTTCATGTGTGATGGCATCAGCATGAGTAGCCTTGTCACGATGGGCGTGGCTTGTAGGGGGGTTTCCCAGCTTCCGAGTAATTGACAAGCAGTGGATTACAATTTTAAATCGATTATTAGTGTTTGTCTACTCATCACCCCAGCTCCAATTTCCACGAACATTGACTCATCAGTCTTTTTAGTTTGGCCAGTGGACGAAAAATGGCGATACAACGGTCCGTTAATTTGATAATTAAAAATAATAATGTGTAGGCCTTTGTAAATCCAATGGTGAATGAAGGTGGCCTCCCCATGCCGTGTCAGTCATGGGGGGTTTGTTTGATCATTGGGGTTTTTTTAAAATAAATACTTCACCAGGCAGGTTGATGTGGATTTGTGAAATGAGGGTTCAAGGGTTGAGGGTTCAGAACGGATGTCAAGTCAAGTTGACCGGCTTTAGAGCACACATCGCTCCGTCTCCATTACACCACCGACTGCCCATTGCTTATTTTCTTTGAATTAGTAACTAGCGATGCATGTGGCTTTAACGCATTAATAGATATTAACAGAGCTATTATTTATCTTTATCTGTGCCGCGTTCTTTCTTATAACGTCAGCGGTCATGGCCTTCAATTCGTGTAGCTCTGTCCCATTTTATTCACTCGATAAATTTGGAATCAGATTCTCCCAGTGGCATCCGTTTGTTTTAAATTGATCGTACAACTTCATTTGCTCTCTTCCTCGGCTTCTTGTGCGGACGATTTTCCCAGTCAAAGCCACGTTTATATTCAATCCCTTGTTTTCTCCTTGCGTGTCCAACAAATCTACAAGTTGTCTACCTCTAGTTATTCTTATTAATTTAGTAGTATACCCTGCCATTCTTTATTACATTTACCTACCTCAAGGCCCCCCCCCCTTTAGCCTTGACTTCAACAAAACAAAACAGGGTAATTTATTATTTTATTGTTTCCCTTCAACGTGACTTTACCGAAAGAGCTAAGAATATGAATTACTGCAGTCACGAAAGCTTTAAATCAAAATTTAAACAGGGTAACTTTTGTTTTACATTAATAAGAGTCCAAGGACATGTTATGTTTTTTTTAAATGTATTGTAAATGTTTAAAATATATTTTAAAAAATAATAATTTCCGAACACTTGTACGCAACTCCCTCCCCCTCCTCTTCCTCCGTTTGCTTTTGTCGCGTTTACGATTTTTTTTTGTACATCCACAACTGAGCACCATTTAGGATGCGTTTGTGACACAACCCTGCGGAACGGGGATTTGCGACCGCAGCGGTTTTTTTGGCCGGCGGCGGTGGGGGGAGGGGGGGTGTTGGTCCCCCCCCCCACTCCCCGTCACCAAATGCCCCCTCCCTCCTCCCAGCTCGCGTGGATGTTTAAATGGCACTGAATGGGTCCCTGTCTTTGAGCACGTAGGCCAAGCACTTGAGCCCGCAACGTCCCCTTTTTTCTATATATGTACACATACGTGTGTGATATGTATTCTATTGCCAGCTGTTGTGTAAACAAGGCTGGCTCTCAATTGTTCGTGTTAATCGACACGACACAGTTCGCCACTAATACGACGGTGCGATGTTTAAAAAAAAATGGGCCCAGCCGACTTTTTCGTTTTCTGTTTAACACGTAGGCTTTCGCGACCAATATTATTCATAATAAAGGTTTTTGGGTTAGATAGCGTTATTTATGAATGTGTCGTAACCCTCCACCACCCGACACGGCCAAACAGTAAAAAATGTGTCACGTTTACAAAGGACAAATAGTTCACTACTTTAGCCCACCGATGTGTTGAAGAGTGAATCAACATCATTTAAAATTTGAGTGCAACGTTTCGCTGGTAATTACATCCGGCATCAGTTTTTATCACGGCAACAGCTCAGACAGCTCGCGGTTTTGCCTCCGACCGAGCTGTATCCGTTTCATCCAATCTATCGATCTAACAACCGTGCAGTTGCCGTATTATCTTGTGTCCGGTGTCAATAAAGTGATTGGAATTTTGGTTACACGCCTACCAGATTAACAAGCAGTAGGGCTTTCACGACCAGTTTGATCCGTAATAGAGGGTTTTTTGGGGTGAGATCGCGTACATATGAATGCGTCAATTAGTGAAGTTGTTCACATAAACAAAACACACTACGAATTGGCATGTTTTGTTTACATGACAAACCTTACTAATTGGCTGTGTCGGGTGGTGGTCGGTTAAACGACACATTTATATTTACGCGATCTAGCCCAAAATAAAACCTCTCTTATGTACCTACCAGATTATAACACTTATCCCCAACGTTCACTTCACATACTCTGGGCGTTGGTGGTGAACGGACTGAGGTCGTGCGCGTTATAATCTGGAGAATACGGGTTGTTTGTTTTGTTGTCCCCCCCACGTTCTCCTAAGTGTAGTTATTAACGAGTATCTCTGCTAAGCTCCCACTCAGAATGGCACTGCCCTGCAGGCTCGGCGGGAGGAGAGGAGCGGGGGTAGGAGGAGGGGGTGATTGGAGGAGGGGCACGTGGGGGGTGGGCAGATTGCTCTGTTGACTTCGCTGACTCTCAGCACGCGGGGCGAGAGAGGCCGTTCATCATCGTACATCGCTCGGCGGTGGTGGGGCGGCAGAAGTTAACCCTTTCCCGTTCCGAGACGTCTCCCAATTGCCGGGTGGGCGTCCTGTTCGCCGCCGAATCTCGGAACGGGCAAGCGATTCAGCGTTCATTTAATTGTTTTTAAAGACATTGTACTCACCGCAGAGGACTGTAGCGACACGACTGCAGTCTATGATAGCTGGCGCCAAACTGTGCCACACGCCCTCCCGCATGGCCTTCTACGTCATCGCAACGGAATCGGAAGAAAAACTGATGATGTACAAGTACGTCATCGGACCTCCTGTTTACCAGGCGAGGTAGTTAACATATCGCCACCGCTGCACCCTCACCAGCGACCCGGCGAACATTCAGTGAGACATTAATCTCTGCCCGCAGAGGTTGAGACGCGGACTCGGTGAGACGGTGGCACGGCTGTCACACCCCCCCCCCATCCCATATGCCTCCCCCCCCCCAACTCTTCTTCTATCCTCATAT